CTTCATTTTAGGGCCTAAGGTCCTGAAATTTGGTATGGAGGTACAGTGGGCAAATACCCCTAGGCTTTTTTAAATTTGTGTGATACAGACTTTTAGAATGGTTTTATTTGAGTTTTTTGGCTGTGTTATAGCAAATGTATTACTGTGTTAGTGTGCATGAGTCATCACAATGGAATGCAGGGCATCAACTAAGGCCGTGTCTATACGGAATCACCCAAACCGCGATTCGGGTAACTCACATTCCTCACATCTGGTCCACGTGCCACACACACCTGTGAAACCGTGTCCGAACATAATGCGCTTGAGCTACATTTAACGGTGCACACACCAATTCTTCCGCGACAGGGGTCCACTGTAGTGCCCGGAAAAAAAGTGACGAAGGGGTTCCGGTGGTTCATGTTTGAGTTTACATTTCTCATAATCTGCTGCAAAATGGGATTAACTACTAACATGGCTGGAAAGTGTAAGAAGTGGCGTGCTTTGGGTGAAAATTGATTTCGGGCCCGAGGCTTACTTCCGGGTGTCCTTCCGCCCTGAGCGCGGTGCTTCGGTTTGACCTAGTTTTGCCTTGTATGCGTTCTGGGGGTGCTGTAGCTATGCCTCGCGCGACGCGCTATTGTGATAATCTCAGTGTTAGGATTTTCTTTATACTTTTCTTAATAATACGTAAGGGTTTTCTCTTTCCGACCATATAAGTCATATCGGTGGCTAAAATCTGGGTGATGGGTTTAATTCCACGTGAAAATGGCCAATTTTTGGCATCATTTTTCATCGAAAAATTCTTTTTCCCCCTAAAATTTACTAAAATGTGAGAGGGGAAAGAAATTGAAATTCTATTGTTCTCGTAGCTAGAGGGATATCCTTCATTTGAAAACAGAGTGTTTTGGCTTAAGAGGTATTTCCTGAAAGAGACGGTCGCTAGAGTTGAGGGTATGCAGAATCGAATTGAGACCCAAAATAAACTGGGGTGTGCCCCCAAAAAAATGGGTGCTGCTAAAGCCCTGCCACGAGACCACTTTGCCACCCAAAACCACCTCGTTACTTACGCTCTTCTTGATGGCTAGGATCCAAACCATTTGTGTGTGAAGACTGCGGGTACAGGACCATCAGGAAGAGTAATCTGAAGTGGCATCAGAAGACCCATCAGAAAAACCGCAAGCACAAGCACAGCTGCACACTGTGTCCCTACACTGCCAGGAGGAGTGTGGAAATCGTCAAACACATGGACTATAAACACAAGGACAGAAGTAAGTTTTATTTAGGCCACACCAATTTAATTTGTTGGTTCTCGGATTCGCCTCTCCGTTTTTTTTTTCTGATTTGCAAAAAAAGGGTTCTGAATGAAGTAAAAAATGTATGTATATTTTACCCCCAACAGTTAAGGAAAGTCAATTTCTTCCTAGTTGTTACAGTTTCTTCATCTATCAATGCAGTGTTTTGAATAAAAGTTCAAAATTCATTGTTTAAATCTTGACCCAGCCCTTTTGACTTCATGTCTCCTATTGTAGCATTTGGGGCTATAATAGGATGCCTAATCCTGTTTTCATTTTTATTTTTTTCGCCCTGTCTCTTCATATTTTTTCTGAAAAAATCTGAGAACCAACAAATTAAATTGGCGTGGCCTTACCTTCAATCCTGAACAGCTTCATTTTTGTAGTGATGTTCTATTATTAAATCACGACTTCGCAACTTTGTGTTTTGTATTAGGCCACACTGTCAAGTAATTTCTATGGATGACGTCCACATTTTTGCATTGATTTTGGCCTGTTCCCAGAAAAAAACAATAAATTCCGCTTAATAATACCTGATAATACTCAATGTGATGCAGCCATGACATACTATCAAATTCAAGGTGAATTTGATAAATCTTCTGGGGTTTTTTTTTGTATTCTGTAATAGGGCCAGATGACCACAGCCTAGACCATGAGTCAGCTGTGGCGGTCAGCAACATAGCAACTGTTGACCATCACAGCTCTGCACCATCCGCTGACCTCCAGCAGCAGCCCAGCAGTTCCTCTGTTCAACACTTGCAGGTTGAAACACAATCCAACTGCAATACAGCACCAGAGGGTTCAGCCTTCACATGAAAATACCCTGGCTAGTAAAACGGACACAAGTCTTACAAAATCACCATTTCTTACACTCTTCAGCCATGTCAGTGTTTAATGATGCTTCGTGGCAGTTTATGAGAAATGTCACCTCAAACTTGGACCCTCAAAACCCTTTCGTCACTTTTTTACAACGGACTATCAAGGACCCCGGTCGCGCAAGAACTGGGGTGTGCACTGTTAACTAGAACACAAAATAAGGGCCAAGAATGATCATAGCGCTCATGAATATTCATGAGAGTACCTTTTGCTCATCCCTGATTCCATGTGTCTTGTAACAGCCCTAAAAAGTTACCAGTGGTTGGCTGACTGCATAGATTTTCATATACAGCGTCATGCTCTGTGATGCTCTGTAGGTCACTCGTCATCTCTGTCAAGTATTATCTTGTCCTTTTGATATGTTACAGTGCAAGCAGTAAGTGACCACCCAGCTTTGTCATATGGATCAGATTCCATGGATCCAGAGGTTGAGGGTTCGATGCCCGCTCGGCACAACTGGTTGTAGTTGTGTCAGCTCTTTAGATATACGCCTCAAGTTTTATAACCATCTGCATGTAAAAGAAGACAGCACACTTATTGAGAAGAGTAGGCTGGGGTAACTTTTATTAAGTTCAATATTATTTGTCAAAATGTGGATTCCCTTTTTTTTTATAGTGTACCTTTACTAAGCTTTACTACATAACAAGAATCAACTGATAGTGTACAATTGTACTAAAATAACCATTTACATTTTCTATATAAGATAATCTTTTGCTTCTGACATGTTCCTCTCAAAGGTAAATATGACAAATTTATATATTTGTAACTTTACGATATAAAACACTTTAACAACATATTAATTGGAAGCAAAATGTCTGCTATAATTTGTGTACAGGGCCTTAATTTTAATATAGTGTGTAAAATATGTATGAAATCAGATACAGTATACCCTCATGTTAAGTAAAAGACTAATTCTGACTGTCCATCACAATTATCAGTTTGACCAATGACAGCATGGCAATTATTGGTTTGGCCAATGACAGACCATGGAGGTAGGTGGTGCTATCAGACTCATTCCATTCTTAGGGAAGGGGGGCGATCTGAGGAACCGACAGACCAAAGAGTTTTAGAAACGCCCTGTGGAACTCCTCACTACGGAAGTTATACACTAGGGGGTTACTGAAGGACGGTACCGTCAAAAATAGCACGATAAAAGTCTCATGGGTGATCACCAAACCCACTGTCAGATCCTCCCGCGTTTTAAGCCTAACCCCGCTTACAAACTGTGCGACCCAAGCGACTACAAAGATAGTAACAACAACCATGTGAAGAGAAATTGTTTTAAACGCGTTGGTTTTGAAGATCGATATATTCCTGTGGTTGGGATTGTTGTTTATGTTTACCTGTTGTTTACGCGCCTCCCAGAAAACAACACAATAGCATATCAGAATGATTACAATGCAAACAGCAGGCAAGCCCGTTCTCAAAAGTTGCATAGGGAAGGTTCGTTTTGGGCCAAAACCATTCGAAAGTTGTTGGTCGCTGACGAACTCCCGTATGAAACAGACTATCGTGGTTTGGTCAATGTTGAGCTCCCCTGGATACAGCGATGGTATGTGAGCAGTCATTGCTACAACAAAACTCAACGTCCAATTGATTATTATCATCACTAAAGTTTTTACATTAGTTGCGACACTGTTATGTTGAAGTGGCCGAACTATAGCATGCGTTCTCTCAAGTCCAATGTCAACCAGGGTGAAAAGAGTTGCTTGAAAACACATGAAGAGAACCGTGTATTGCAGACGACACCAGCCGTCACCTGAAATGTACTCGTTGTTAACCAAGCTTGCCACCGCTGTAGGGATAGTAATGACGCCTTGGAGTAAGTCAGTCACTGCTAGGTTAAAGTGGAACCAGTACCGAGCCTTGTGTAACGTGTCCTCTCTTACGATGACGCACATGACGATGACGTTGCCCATGGTAACGGCAAAGAGTGACAGGATCAGCCACGTGACCGTCAAACCTGTCAACCAATCAGGAGTCAGGATTTCTTTCACCGGATATGACGTGTTGTTGACGTCACCAGCGTCATTCGTAGATGAGTTTAATCTCCATGTTACCATGGTGAAATCAAGCTAGAAAAGGGGAAAACATTTACAAATATCACCGTACAAACAGGTTTTTGTGTGCAAGTATTCAAAGTTGACATTGATCCCCTACAAAATATTGTAACCTCTACTATTAGCACTTAAGCATGGTACCAAACGTAGTCAAAGTCGGTCTTCCCCGCTAGATTTGGATACGAATCCGCGCGACCTTGAACATGTGTTCAAAAGGTCACTTGATTTTATTTCAAATGTCAACGTTGTTTGCTTTCTGTTTCTATTTCCTTCTCCCTTAAAGAATTTTAATATTTTTCAAAGGCGAATAATTGGGATTCGAACCCGCAAGCTAATTCGTATTCCACAAGCTAACAAGAAATCGGAGTTTTCAGACCTCGAGATCCTGGCCAACGGAATTCTTGCAATTGCTTGTTCCCGGCTCTGAGACTTTGAAATTCTCCCCCATTTCGTGTCATTTTGACTTGCTATTTTGCCTGTCAATTTTCCCGATCCACATGCTGTCAACGTACCCTCTCTCCGGACAAGCATGCACTCCCACACCACTGGCAATCCCACCTAAAACAATACCTCCGCACCAGAAGGTAACCACCAGACTAATCATACATGCCACTTTTGTTTTTAGAACACCGCAAACAAATTACATTTAATGTCTGGAGGTTGGTTGACACCCCCCAGAAAAACATCGTAAAGGACAGAGAGGGAGACCCAAAAATATTGAAGATAACGCTTACCTGTGATGCGGTCGTTTCTCTCAGAATCTTTAATTGGCTGTTGCCGCAATGTTAACACCACTTGTAGCTGACGTCGGATTTGTTGTCTCTGATTATGACTAGTAGTTAGTTGGTGCGCACAAGCTGCTCCGAACGGCTCCGAGTATCTCCGAACGGTTCCGACCGTCAACTTCCGAGTATCTCCGGCTCCGGACGGTTCCGATTGTTAACTTCCAAGTATTTCCGAACGCTCCGATGTATCTCGCATCAAGTTGACTCAAAGGCTGCCAACCTGAGATCAAGCGGAGAAAAGAAAGACATTTTCCAGCCTCCTCGCATTTCAAAGAGTACAGTGCATGCACTCTTAAATTATCATCTTAAACGTGCGTGTTTTATACTAGTATTGTATTTGTAGCTAGGCACCATATGTTTTTCCATCCACCTGACGTTGCATTGCGTCCTGATCTACGAATTTTCGTCATATCGCAAATATTACCTACCCTTTCCCGGAGTTTCTTAAGCGCCTGAAACGTTGTGGTATTTACTCAAGTGGGGGGAAAGGATATAGACAGGCTTTTATTGCAAGTTCACAGAGAAGCTTTGTGGGCTTTTAGGACTGGTTATTTGGTTAATGGATCAAGGTAAGTACTTTTAACAACCCCGGTCTGGGTGCAATACGTGGGTTTGCCTGATCTATAAGGGAGTGCAAGGAGCCGGCTCAATCTCTGTTTTATATTATACGCGGTTTGCGGTATTTTGTACTTTGGTACCTCCCAGTGCGGATGTTTTGATTTTTGGTGCCTCCGGTTATGCTTAGGCTACACTGACTTAATTTTATGGATGACATCCTCTGAAGATCCAAAAAGTAGTGCGAGCGGGCGAATAAAAATGCTGATAAACTACAGGAATGCAAAGCTGGTATTACGAATTTGCGGTTGCACATGACTACTTACTTTTACAACAAGCCGGTACATGCTGGCCCTTTTGCAGTATTTATGAGTCGGCACCGGCATAGCGTACTGATTCCGTGGAGCCTCGGTGGCCTGGGTGCCGTTCTTCGTAGTTACAGCCGGCTCCCTCATTCCCACAATGGATTACGGGGGATGGCACCTAGGCTTAAGCCTTGGAGCTTTGTTTGTTTCTTTGTTTGTTCGTTTTCTGAGAACAGGCGAAAATCAATGCGCGCGCGTATGTCATCCATAAGATTAAATCAATGTGGCCTTACTTTGGTGTCCGTAATTGCTGATCCCGATTCATGGAGTCTATAGGTTAGACGAATTCACTTCAAAGACCGTCAAATCTTTGATTTATGTCTTTTTGGATCGATCAATAAATTAACTTCAAATGCAGGATCTATAGAATCGGCGATTCTACCATAACGAGATCTCTAATAACCTGATACACTCACATGCACTTGTAAGTTGTGGTGGAACGTCTGTCTTGTGCTGAATAACCAAGCCTGAGCAAAGAAATACTCCGTTCTTTCAAGAAGGTATAGTCTGATTGAAACTCCTTGGTTCCTGTCTTCACCAGCCCAAGTGTCTAGTCAAAAAGATGTCTCAAGGGATATCCTCTGCCGTCTTGAACTGTCCAGTCTAACGGCTTTATATAGCACATTATGCAAATGATGTCTGGTGGTCCCATGTGTTTCCTCAAACAGCTAATCACAATGTACAAGATTATTACAAAGAAAGCTGAGTTCATATGAAAGGCTGCGGATACTAGTAATTCATTAGCCGTTCGTTTCTTCTTCTTTTTTTGTAAGTACATTCTTCCCTTTGTCTTGTCCTTGGTTTTGTAAGGGGGTGTGTGGCGAGTCAGGTGTGACATGCAGACTACCAATTAATTAGTGTAAATGAGTGCTTTGTTCCTAATGTCAAGTGAAAATTATAATTTTTTTTGCTGATGAAGGCTAAAATATTTGCCTCATAATTTCATGTAGGTTTTGTGATGATTGATTCAAAACAACGTTTTAAAATCGAACTTTTCTGCGGCTCATTTTCCAGCCCGCTGTATAATGTGCGTAATGGTAAAAATTTAAAAGCAACACGATCACCATTGTAGTACCAACAGCGATAGATAGGCGTCGTTTTTTATACATGCGCCCGAAGGAAGACGACTGAGTAGTTCTGATATCCTGTGAATACCCGCGGCCTGTTGATTAGGTAAGTGCAGTCGAAATACTAGTTGTTGTTTTTTGGTTCTTTTATCATTGGTTGAACTGCTAATTGTGATTGACAGTCAGATAGATTCTGCCTATCGCAACAATGGTGGTTGATGTTCAGCACCAAGGACAGGGCCCTTTGTCTGTGAATGAAATATACATGTAGTACATTGTAATGACGATATTCAACCACTCGCAACGAAGCATTCACTCTTCTCTTCTCTCACAAACAGGCACTTTTGAAGACACAAGAAACAACTTACAAGAGCTTTAATTAATTTGCAATTCGTTTATGTCTATTCAGCTCTCTTTGTATTGATGGCACCATCACTTAGTAGTACATAGTATTTCTGACATGATACATGCTTTGTTGCAACGACTATCACAATTTTCTGCCATCTTTTCCTAACTCTTAAACTGAAGGTTAAAAGTAGGAAACAATAGACAAACTTAAACGGTTAGAGTTCTGTAGCCCTGTCATGCATACTATTTCATATTTTCTTACTTGGTTATTCTTAAGATTAATAACTAAGTCATCATGATATTCTCTGATACAGTATTATTACTTTGTACATGCAGCAAAAGATAGGCTGATAAACATTCTTTACAGGCCAGCTAGGGGTGTTTTACTCACCCCACTCTAAAATGCCACATTATATATCGGTATATTTTTCCCAGCCAGCCGTTCTGAATACTGGAGTTCTGTAAGAGCTAAGAAAAAAAATGTTGTGTTTCCTGTTACCGGACTGAAAATAGCAAAATCCGTCCGACCCTAGCCTTGTTTTGAGTCAGCTGCCAACAAGACACAATTTTTTGAAATCTAAAATAGCGGTACATACTGGAACACGGGACTGAATCAGAATCAGACCTAACATAAAGTCCAAATACCAGTGTACTGATACATTTCAGTGTTATGTTCACTGTACATGTATTTGTTGTATCCGTTTGGATAAAAAAAATGTTTAATGAATTCCTAATTACTAATCGTACTTTTTCAGGACTGTAATAGGAAACACCACATTAATTTTTCTAGGCATAATAATCAAAATCAACCCTGAAAAATGTCTCCCACAAGTGATAATTTGTCTGGACAGGCAGACTGTAGAAATCCCAATGGTATGGATACCTGGCTAACATAGGAAGACCCTATCTAATGTATAGGATATACATATATGTTGTTTATAAGTGGACTGAGTTTGAGAGTATGTTATTTCCTTACTCTCCTGTTATTAGTATAACTTTTAACCACAGCAAAGGTATGAATGATACTGATCACTAAGAATATCTATACAATGTTCCTGTTTTTGTACAAATATCTACAAACTTGGCACTGTATTTATACTACAACATTTACAATGACAGACACACTTATTCACAGCACACAGTAGTCCGTATCAGTTTGACATGAGATGATCAAACCATGAAATGTTGAGGATTTCTAGACATTGTGGAGTTGTTTCATTCCCTGTTTTACAAAGGCTGACTCTTTTCTGCTTGAAATTCTTCCAACATCAAAATTCAACGAAGGACAGATGTGATCCAGGGCTCTAGCCAGCACCAGTTTTTCTTTCCTTTTTCCTTCAATTGTAGAAACTTTGTGGCACGTGACGGATCCGAAAAAACTTTAAACCAATCCGTTAACCTTGATGGACAAAACTGAAACAAATCTTGGGTAAAAAATATGAAAACATCCAAAGGACCACCAGCAACCACTCTCATCCCCATGATTTGCCTCTGAAAATGTGGAAAATTGTGATTTAAAAGGCCTGAAAATCCAAACTAGATTGCAAGCACTCTTCCCCTAGGTCCGATCATGAACCTGGGCTGATGGACAAAAAATTTCAAGCTGGCCAGGCTTGAAATACTGGGTGCACGTAATTTTTTTCTGTGGGTGCACTGGTGCACCCAAATATTTTTGTAGGAATTTTTAACATTAGAAGTGTATAATAGTATACCGAATATTCTTGGTCTCTAGTATCAGAAAAATCCTAAAATCTTTTGTTGTAGCAATGTTTCAGATTTTGAAGTTAGCTCTCATTTTAGATTCAAGCTCAGAAGAGGAGCAGTAAGATCTGCAATTAGGTTTTGTTTCATATGGTGCACCCAAAAAATTTTGTGCACCTAATTTTTTAGGTTGGGTGCACCAGTGCACCTATTCCCAAAAATGAATCTTGAGCCCTGAAGCTGGCTAAACCCCTGATGTAACAGTGTTGCTACTTGGATCATGACGCCCCGCTCATGCCCTCGAGGTATAGGAAGTATGGGATGTACGCCATGTACTCCATATACGTGACAGGGGAGTGTTCAATCTGAAACAAACAAGACAGCATCCGTGAATAATAAGTGCCATTAGGTGTGAAAATCACTTTTTAACAAAGTTACACAATCAGTACACCAAAACATTGGTACGTGACTGTATGTAAGAGGGCAAGGAGGTCATTTGGTTAGGGTTGTTGATTTAGAATCTAAGGGTTCCGGGTTCAAATCTCTAGCAAGCTCAAATGTTGCCCTTGGTAAAAACAACAGTAAACCTTTTTCCTCACTCAACCTAAGTAAAAATGAGCACCTAGCTTTTGTTAAGGACATCCTCTTGGATGTGATGTGAAGACAAACGTCTAGTGTCTTGGGAGAGCCACACCTTGAGCAATTGTTTAAGATCCCACCACACTTATAAAAAAAAGTAGGGGTCCTTCCCAGCTAGTGTCGGTGTATAAAATCTTACAGTCCTGTATTGTGTCCAGTAATACAAATTCTTACCTTTTCTAAAGCGGAGTAGATTTGTGCCTGTAATTTCTGGTCTGACTGTAGATCTCTTCCTAATGTTGTAGACAGGATGCCCTATAGAAATAACACCAGCGATTTAACAAGTAAGAAACATATTATGCCACAAAACGGCAAATGAAAAAAAAAAAACTACCACAAAAGTTTCAAGATTTCCCACATGACATACCTGTAATGAGTTCATAGTTATGGACCCTGTCTGTTGTCTGTCAACAGAGGAAAACAACTCCTGTGGGAAGAAAAAAAATCAGATAGTCTTAAAACAATATCTACAGTGTAAACTAATGTAAAAACTCTTGAGTTGAAGACCTATAACTCGCTGCTGTTTGCAGTAAACTCTAAAAAAGTTTTTAAAAATAACAATAGCACTAATAGTCAATACGTTTTTAGTACATAAATACTTCAAGACTCTATTCTAATAACCGACCACTTTTGAGGTTTCGGCCTGATAAACAATGGCAAATGGAGCCTTCTGATTGGTTGACACCTTCTGGCTATATGATATATATGTCAGTCAGTCTCTAAAGACTATGACTAACTGCGCAGGTCGAACAGGATGGCTCATTCCTCATGTACAAGACAAAACAAATTTGAGCCTGAAGTCATGTTACAAAAATAAAAGTCCAAAGATAATAGTCTTTAAAACACCACAATTATTGTGTACAGGTTTATACATAAAAGTGCATATTTATTAGATAGTCATGAAAGAGGCATAGCTTCTTCCTGATTATATTACTCACAGCATATTGAGAGATGGACTCTGACAGTCCTCCGAAGTCTATCTGTTCATACATCTCACGCATGGTGTTCCTGCAGAGGATATGAAACATTTATTTTCTAACTAAGGGCTCTCAGACTGTTCGTAGGAAAAATTAAGCAAAAGATGACAAGATGAAAAGATATGGCTAGAAGGAAATCCATCTTACTATTTTCACTACCTGAAATTCTGCGTTCTAAGGTATTAAGGTTCAGGGTTATCTTTTTTAATCCAAGATTCAACAATAAAATCAAATTGGTATGGTTACTGCTTTTTTTTATTTTTGGTTTTGTAAAAAATGTAACAAAATGTATACAATAATTCAGGGGGAGACACATAGTATTTCTCCTATGTGTATGTAATATGTGCTGATAATAGTAAATTCATGGTAATAAAAGAACTAATATGACCATTGTAGTGATTAAAATCATTAGCAGTATACATACTTGGAAGATGTGTTACATGTTAAATGGTCCCACACCAGAGTTTCTCTACTCACCCGACCCTTGACATGGTCTCACACAGGAGACTCAGACTGATGAACTCCTCCAGGCCAAAGAAAGTGGAAGAACTGGTGATGTCATAAACCTGGGGGAGGGGGGAAGAAAAGGTACAAAATGAATGGAAGAGCATCTAACAAGTGTGAAAAAAGAAGCTTACAGAAGTTTTGTTTTTGTATGCCAGTCTGTTTGTTTGCTTATGTGTCCATAGTTACATGTATTTGAATACAGTAGAGTCAAAGAAGTGAGCTCAGTCGGTAGAGCATGGGACTCTTAATCCCAGGGTCGTGGGTTCGAGCCCCACATTGGGCGCCACTGTAAAAACCGAAAGGGGCGAGCATGTCACAACCGGGAATCGAACCCGAGTTGTCCGCTTGGCGGTCACCAACGCTAACCACTACACTAAAAGGTCGCACGACCATTAGCATGGTCAGTTAGCACTGTTACACTGTAACCACAGACTGACAAGAAGTGAGGTCAAATTAAGGATCAAAATAGTTTCCTGCAGGCTGGGAGGAAGTAACAGTGAAATATGCACAGAATCAGCAAGAAATTCAAAATAATGAATAAAATTACCTTGATAATTAGAGAATACAGTTGTTAACATCTGATTTATCATAAGAGTCTGCTTATTCAAAGTAAAAGATTGGCAATTTAGTAATACCTGTTTGACATATTTGCTCTGAGCTTTGGACAGATTTTCTGGCATCTGTGTTTTCATCTCCGCAAATGTGATGTGTCTGGAATTAAAAAAACATATTATAATCATAAACAACATTGCTGAATTACGTGTACTAGCCTGACTACATCCTTTTATTCTTAATAGGGTATATCCAAAGCAAAAATTTTGGCACAGACAATCCTTTACAACTTTTGTAGGAAGAAATTGCCCAATGATATTTCTCTACACCAAGGTGCTGAAATGCCATCCGTTGGTGTGTGAAAGTTTTCCATCATCTGTAAGATGGCACAAATATGCAAATCAAGGAAGCAGTATTGGAATTTGCATGTTTGTGTCAACATGAGTGATTTGCATTTCATTTGCATACATAAGGAACTGCATGCAAATGAAGCATTTGCTGCTGACAGTGTCACAGTATCAAGTAACACATGCATACATACTGCTTTAATTGTTATAATGACCTTTTCATGGCAAATTCATGAGAGTGAAAATGTATGCATTTCTAATTACATTACTAAAACTTGAAACACCCTAAAACTGTCATTTTCCCTCCTTCTGCAAAATAAAACCACTGTAAAACTAAAAGTAGATGAATCAACAGTAGTCCTTACCCATCCTTGTCTGTGTCCAGTTTCTTGAACTGTCTCTCATACATGGCCTTCTCTGTCTCTGAGACCAGTCTACTCAGTTTGGAGGTCTGAAATAGTGGGAACATTTAGGAATCATCATGGAACTTTGGACCAAACTGGTTACCATTTATAAACCAATTCATCAATATTCTTTCTTTAGCATTTCACCAGTTGTACAATAAACAATCCAATATTTCCAAGAGGCTTCAAACTACACGTAGTTTTGCAAATTTCTTGTTTTATTCATCAAGAATCTTATCTGTTTACATTTTCTGACTGCCTGTCACCTAACTGTCAGGTTCTGGGACCCCATTCCCTGTGTCTGACCTTTTGTGGTCTGTTGTTAGGTACAAGCAAACACACAAGCACACACAATAACCTTTATGTAAAGAAAGAAAGAAAGAAAGGTCTCCCGTGCTCTTATGTCGAGCGTAGGGTGGTGCCCATATCCATTTCTGTAGCCCCTAGGCAACACACAGTTGTGCAATGCACTACAGCAGGGGGCTGGTCCGCTGGTAGTGCTGTGTGTTTGACCTTCCCACACTCTTTCTTATATGCGCTGAGCAGAGAAAGAAGTGTGTACAATTTTTAAAGTCTTTGGTATGACCCGGTCAGGGTTTAAACTCACGACCGATGAATTTTGAGTCCTGCCTTGTAATGTTATGAGAAGAATTTCTTGTAGACATAAAAGTGAAGTTGTTTCTTCAAGTTTTACCTGTAGCAGGTTAGATGAGACATCTTTCTCAGGACTGGCTGAAATGATGCTGGGCTCCATGTCCATCTGTTCCTCTCCTTCATCCACTCTGTCAGGAACAACAAAACAGATCAACAGATGTATAAAAAGCTTTTATATAAGGTAGTCCCATAGCTGAAGGTGCTGAAGGTTGTTAATACCAGTGTTCTAGTCAGCCTGAATTTCTTTCCATCTAAGTCTTGTCTGACATACATGTAAAATCATATCAAGCACTGCTGGTGCAACAATGCTACTGGGTCCATGGGAAAATTTTGAAATCTGATCCCTCTGATTTCCTACATTTTAAGGTGGAAGACTAAGCTTAGTTTGAGGACATGACTCTTTCATATCATTATATGATTTTTGTCTGTCAAATGAAGGAAAGACAGCCGCTGACTAGAGCAATGGATAGACTATTTATTAGTCGACTGTGTCTAGGGCACAGTATTGGCATGTAGCCCATCCCTCTCCTTCCACTGCCTTTTACCTCACCAACTTAAGTCAGGTTCCCATCTTACACCTGGGTGGGATGAGGAAAGTCGTAATAAGTGCCCAAGGACACAACATAGGACAATACAATAAGGACAATACTCGTGCCAGCTAGCCTAGCCATTCATCCATTGGTTCCTTACCTGTCCTCTGCCACGTCCCCAGCCAATGACACACTCTGTATCTCCATCTGAGCTTCAGCTGGCTCCGGTTCTGGCTCCACAGTAGGGGGGAGGGGGGCAGGTCTGGAAGGGAAGGTCATAGGAAATAAATGTCTGATATATTTGATAATCATGATAATGATGATAATAACAATAAGATAATGTATTTACCTTAGCATAAGAAGGGTAACAAACCTGGCATCAACAACTTCTACATGTAAATTGTATTACAATTTTTCAAATCTAGACACAATGTATACCAAAGGGCTCCACTCCTGAGGTGTTGCCAAAAAATGATTTCCCCTTACTCAGGTTTTGGTTCCTCTTCTCTCTCCTCTGGCTCATGATCGCTTGCGGACTGTTCCACTGGGGGTTCTGGGATGGGGGGTGGTGGCTCCGCCGGAGGGGCGGATTCTAATGGTCTTCCTACATGGACAAAGACATGATTACACTAACCTTATGCACAGTGAAGAAAAAAAACTACACACCAAGCTTAAACTTTTTACTAACTTTTGAATCAGAAATAATATTTTTCACCTGTTGATTTTCGAGAAAAAAGTCAAAAGTTAATGTGAAAGAGCAACTTTGACAGCTGTACAGCACAGTACTGTGTGTCCAGACACACAGACACACAAACCCACACCTCAGCCACCCAAAACAATACTTCCATTATTAATAATATGTACGTGGCCAAGAAAGATATGTTCTCAAACTTACTGGATGGTCTCATAGTTTCCTTCTTGACCCTCCCACCAATGGCGGAGTCCAGTGATTCCTGGTCGCTCAGTTCTGACGGGATATCCCGCGTCGGTCTGCGAGGGGTGCGTATGGTGACCTGTCGTCTGACCTTTGACTCTCGGAGGTCACCATCTTCAGGCTGAGACAGTCTGCTGTTGACTGGTGGGGCTGGGACTGAAATGGAGGAGGTAACGTAACAGTTATACACTCAGAGTTTCCGAAGAATTTGGTAAAAGCTCTTCCCATACCATTCCAGAAATCAAACAAAATCAAACCCATACAATATGTAACATCTGTGTCCATAATATCACCATAGTCCATAATATCGCCTTCTTGAGAAATAGTGTGCTTAAATATATTTTTACTGCAACATACCCTAGGTATGTACATTTGAGGTGTGAAGGAGTGCATACCAAAAGTATGTTGCAGTAAAAATATCTTTAAGCACACTATTCCTCAAGGTGGCGATATTATGGACCCTGGTGATATTATGGACAAGGATGTTAATGTACTGTATTTTGTATAAACAATTCTGTATATTATTGGGACAATTAAACTGTGTTTTGAGGACATCAAGTTTTTTTCTTATACTTCAGTCCATACGATAGGTATGGATGAAATATATTGTTTTCTTTTAAGGTGTAAAACACAATCAACACCCACCTTTAGGTTCTCTGACTATGGGCGGTCTCTTTGTAAAGTGGTCTCTGCAACACAAAGTGAACTGTATTTAGGGTGGTTATACATTTTTTTTGTTTTATTGATATAATTATAGATTATAATACTGTGAGTTTCTTGATGATTCTCCGCATTTCTCTCTCTCAGCCTGTGAGGAGACTATTTTGACCCCCCAATTTGACCTTCCTGTCAATCTACCATTTCCCTTCTCACTTTGTGTGACTGAGTATTGAAATAACAGTCTACAGTAACACAAGCAAGCAAACAGAATTTAAATAACTATAGTAACACAAGCAAGTAAACAGAATTTAAATAAATACAGTAACAGAAGCAAGCAAACAGACAAACATAATAAAACAAGACCTCCATCATGGAGGTAAATCTACTTACTCTGGGAACCTGAAGCCCCTCCCCATGTACGTCTCCTTAGCAGCAGGAGGAAGGATGATAGTCTTCAGTTTCTGTACCTCAGCAGCAATGTCATACCTGGGAATCAACAGAAAAGAGTATGGTTTCCTGTTTTAACACTTTCAAATGAGTCATAAATTATGAGAGACTGAGTTGATACAGGTGAGAACTTTGTGTGCATTTAGCATAGGAAAGTTTTTGATTCCCAAAGCTGTTTAATCTTACTTCAGAATGAATTCTGCTGAGTTAAATGCAGATGAACTTTCAGGCTCACTTCCCCACAATGTACTGATTTGTTAGCAAGAATTAGTGCTAACATGCTAAGTGAGATCAAGTGGTTAAGTGTTCGATTCCTGGCTGGACATTGTGACTTTGGGGAAGGCACTTTACCCGACTTTCCTCACTTCACATAGGTGTAGAATGGCTACTTGAGTTCAGTTTGGAGATAAAGACAGTGGAAGTAGAGGGATGGGCTCTCCCTTCCAATACTGTGTCTAAGAACTAGTGGATCGACAACCCACTGCCCCTACAGCCTCAAAAAGGCTATGAGGCTGACAATACCCTGGTACAGCTTTAAAAAGTTAACCATGTCCTTAACTGACCTCTCAGTGTACTCGGCAGGTCTGCCCTCCATGGACATGTTGAACCTGAGACGATGTGGGACCACTTCTCGTTTCCTCTTCTGTCCCCGGATCTCCTCCATCTCCCTCAGCTCCTTCTCAAACCGCTCCTTCTGAGCCAGTCTGAGAAGACAGAGAAGACGTAGTGAATACAAGACATTGTGATGACCATCTTGTAGCCCTATGTTCCAAGGCCCCAATGTTGTAGCATATCGGCTAACTGTATTGCGCCTGTGTGAAATCTGGAATGCACTGTTCATAACGTTTTTACAACATATATCGCATTAAGGTCACATTCACGTACTTAAAAGGATGCTATGCATTTGTAGTTTTCAAATATTGTAACAAAAAGTAAAATTTTTATGCAATCTTGACCAAACATCCAACAGAAACCATGGTTTTGCACAGGCACAGTATGTTCTGTTGATGTGCACTTTATTGTGACATAGGGCAAGGCTTTTTTTCAAAACTTTAAAAGTTTAGGTGAAATGTTCAAGAACCAAGGAAATAAGGGTCTGCATGGGGGATCTTGGCAATGCATGGGAGGGCTGGCAATGGTTTTTAGCAAAATTAAAATTATAAAGGGCCACCAATTCTGAACAGTAAATAAAGCTTTTTCTTAATTGCAAAAGATTTTTGGAACTAGTTCATTGAACAAATGAATGTTTTTTTGCGTTCATGATTATTGGGAAGCATCTGGAAAAGCTCATCTGCAAATACCTTTGACTTTTGGGCAATTTGACATTCAATGTTTCAATACAATGAACTTATCAATTAAATATTTTACAATGAATTCAGGATGACAGATAACATGCTATACTAGAATTTAAGTAACCAATCATGCTTCAGGAATAATTTTGCCAACAGCACTTAATGTTGAATAAGAACTACGATTAACGGTAAATCACGATAGATCTCTATGCCGCATGAAAAATGGCATGCAGACCCTCAAATAAATGCTTGTGGGCTATAAGATGAGACTTACAGTGGAGACAGACCAGTAACAGTAAGGTTGAGCCCTGATTTGTCTCTGGTTTGCTGGAGTTCTCTACATAGAAAAGTCATAGTAGAGGTCACACACACACACAGAGCTTCATCATAGCAAACAAACAAAATGATAAAATGTTGTAATGTTAGCAACAGTCTGCCTTCTACTCAGACTAAGATACTAGTACTAAAAGAATGACCAATGATAGCAAATTGAAGATGGTTTTGAAAGGTTGACTGAATGATAGATTGGATGAAAGAATGAATAAAGCAGTTATTGGTACACAAAGGTTGACTTAAACTGATTAAAACTACATTAATTAAACAACACTTACTCCTCTGCTGATGGTAGCCTGCTTGGGTCCCACTGAAAAAAATATTTAAAAAATTATAATTAATGATGACGTGTAGACCAGAACATTTTTTACATTGTCAATTTTAACAAGCCAGTTGTAGTTTGTTAAATGGTGGTTGTCAGTTGCACTGTGTTAACAGGTGGTTGTCAGTTGTAGTGTGTTAACAGGTGGTTGTCAGTTGTAGTGTGTTAACAGGTGGTTGTCGGTTGTAGTCTGTTAACAGGTGGTTATCAGTTGTAGTCTGTTAACAGGTGGTTGTCGGTTGTAGTGTGTTAACAGGTGGTTGTCAGTTGTAGTGTGTTAACAGGTGGTTGTCAGTTGTAGTGTGTTAACAGGTGGTTGTCAGTTGTAGTGTGTTAACAGGTGGTTGTCGGTTGTAGTCTGTTAACAGGTGGTTGTCAGTTGTAGTGTGTTAACAGGTGGTTGTCAGTTGTAGTGTGTTAACAGGTGGTTGTCAGTTGTAGTGTGTTAACAGGTGGTTGTCAGCTGTAGTCTGTTAACAGGTGGTTGTCAGTTGTAGTGTGTTAACAGGTGGTTGTCAGTTGTAGTGTGTTAACAGGTGGTTGTCAAATTGTTACATGTTAACTTGTGAACTATAGGGCACATTTGCAAATTTTCCCAGGTTCGTTCCAGCTAACACACTTTGACATTGGCATCGACCTTCTCAACTATTGCCTTGCCAACGACACTGATCAAGTTTCTAATGAAAACATTCTCAAAAACAAGGTGAAAGAAAGTATCTCAAAAAGCACAGCCACCTTGAAACATTAGACAATGTTACAAATTTCACCCCAAGTTTACATTTCTATTGTCAGTTTCTTCGTACAAATAGACCTCCCAAAAGAAACAAATATCCACTATTGTCATTACTCTTAAGCTTGGCTACTTTTATTCCTAAATAATCAAGGAACCATTTGTAACTGTCGCCGCACTTTCAGCGATAGGAAATTGTAACCTTTTTAAACATTGCAGATTCAGTGTTTAGTACCTATTTTTAAACGTATCTTGACTTTGCAGGTGGCCTTGGTGCCAGTGGAATATTTGAAGTGATAGTTTTAGTGTAACATTACAGTTTGTTGTAATTTTTTTAAGCTGCTATTGCAAACGACCTACAATATATGCAACTGTTTTATACAACATGATCCATAGACCCACACTATTCTATATTATTTGCAAACTTGGTACTAGTATACATCATAATACAAAATCAATGTTAAACTTCATTTCATCGGTAAAATTTGAACTGTTTTAAGTTTCATAGTTCAAGTTTCAAGTTATAACATATTGCTTTTTATCATCTGCACATTATATACAAAACCATTGTAAGTTATAATAATGTGTTATATCTGCTTTTATTTTAAGCATTTAGTATAGAAAATATTGACAGTGTGTTTTTTGTTTATTGCTACAATGTATCTGCTGGTTAACTTTCTTCTGCCTAACCCCATAACCAAATGAAAATTTGTAGCCAAACATGGCTACTTCAGTGTGCGAAAGGTTAATCCATTTTTTTGTATTAGAATTCAAATACAACTTGTAGTAGCTGTAGCACTTGCTTTCATCTTAAGTGATGATTGAAGTCTCTAGATATAGAGCAATGCAACTGTTCTCACCATATATCTGTCAGTGTGGAAGGCCACAGGTCTAGTTTTAGCGATGGAGAAGGTGTGACCAGCGAACATGTCCTGATGTCGGCGGGCAATGGGCACACATCGGAGCATGGTAGACGATCTGTAAAATAAACAATAAAAACATACTTTCGAAAATAGCTTCATCAGGAGGGTTAAGTATAGGATACTAGCCTGGGTGCCATCCCCTACCGCGAGTGAGCGATAATCCCTCGGCCAGGGAAAGCCACACACGCCCCGCCGACCCTGATTTGCGCACTGGCTCTAATTATCTCCTGGCGCTGGCGTGAAAAATATTGGGTTTGGGGCAGCCTGGGGTTGGGCGGCGGATACAGTAGCGGACACAAAAAAATCTATCGCTTTATGAACGCCAGCGTCTGGCACCCAGGCTAATAGGATACAGGAGTTTTCTTTTACACCATTGTCTTACCAAGGTTATTGACAGAGAAGACAACAGGAGAATCCATTGGATTAAAGAAGCTAGCCCTATATTTCCATGCCCCTATGTTGAAGATTAGGGTCAGGGTTAGGTTTGACAGGACATAGGTTGTCACGGAATATACGTTGACTTTTTAGAAATAAGGAGTTTCAGAACATAGGAATTTCAAAACATATGGGTGTCGAAACATAGATATACATGTACATGGAATTGACATGTGGCTACCAAAAGTTAGGCAATTCCGTATTACTGATATAGAAGTGACCTGACTCAAAAAATCATAACTTACATTATAAAACTTCCTCAAGATAGCACTCAGACTATTGTTTTCATTCATCCATATGGCAAAGCAGGTTACACATTGCTGACATTACAAAGATTTGACATGACGTACCTGAAGTTTCTAGTTTGCCATGGTAGCGGCCCGGGTACATCATGGCCCATTAAGGTGTTAAGGTTGTCATTAGGGTCGGCAGGAGCACTGCTGGACTTAAAGGATGAGTACATCTTCTTAAGGGTCACCACAGGTACCTGAGAGAATGAAAAAAAAAAACGAAATCTTACATGTAGAATGTTACAGTAGCTTTTTCTCTCAAGGAGTTTAAAATAAAGAAGTCCAAAATTTGTTACAACTGGTATACCGCTTATAGTTTTAATGCACAATTTTGCACATTAAGTTTGAGCCACTCACACCAGGAAGAACCATACTCTTTTTGATAAGTGCGGTGGGTTCTTTCTTGAGGTAATACAATGTACTTTCCTCAAACACTGGACCTCCCATCCAAGAGGACGTCTTTAACTGAAGCTAGGAACTCATTTTCACCTGAGTCCAGTGAGTCCTCATCTGTATATAGTTTTTTATGCTTGGTACAAATCTTTTATGTATCATAGTGTATATGAGGGTTTGTACATACTGCTTGTCATGCCTATTGTAACTTTTTTTTTTGTTCTGTACGCAAACTCTTTCAATTCAGGGATTTCCATCCCTGCTGCAAGGTTTGCTTTTTGGTGTTGAAATAAATAAAACTGTAGTCATCATTAAGCTCCAGGAATGAGGTGTAAAGTGTCTTTGCCAAGGACACAGCACTAGGGCCTGCCAGGGATTTGAGCTCGAAACCTTTAGATTCTACGTCAACACTGCCCTTGCCACCTTAAATCAGTACAACGCAGTACTCAGTGGCCTCAAATGGCCAAAGGGTAATAGGCTAGCAGACACAAGTTTGACACATCATAGGTTCAATTCCTGGCATTCCTACCAAGATGCAAAAACTTTCCTCACTCCACCCAGGTATAAAATGGGTACCTGACGGGCGAGGTAAAATGCAGTGGAAGGAGAGGGATGGGCTCTGCCTTCCAATACCGTGCCCTAGACACAGTGTATAACAACCCACTGCCCCATACAGCCCAAAATAGGCTATGGGACTACCTTTACCTTTAATGCTGTTTGAAGGGTCATGGACTACTGACCACAGAGTGGGTCAACTGCCACCTGTTAGAGTGGACATGACTACTGGCCTGAGTCCACTCCAAACAGAACCTATTGTATGTCTGGCACTTGTGTGTGCTGTACAGACCTCAGTATAGACTCCAAATCCTGCAAGAACTAAATATAGCAGGGTTCGAAATACATTTGGGGAAATAGGTATGCTGGTGCAGCTAAGCTACAAATTTAGGTGTCCAGAATAAATTTTTGGTGCACAATATATTAAGATAATTAAAAGTAAAATTAAATGTCAGCAAAACTGAATTACAAACTGTACTGCCTCACTTCAGAGCTTGAATATAGCTTAGTTCAAAACTTAACATTTTATACAACGAAGGTTTTACTATCTTTTCTAATAAATGTGAAGTACATGCTGTATAATGTTCCTATAATTACTATACATATGTAAACCTACACAAATACATGGGTGTTACTCACAGTCAAAAATTGTTAAGTGCACAGTCTTAATTTTAAGTGTACAAAAGTGCTTTATTTTACCCAGTATTTTTAGCCCTGCAAAGCCAGTGATAGCATCTATACAGGAAAATGGTCTACAGTGGTTTAAATGCTCTATTGAAAAAAGTGACTTAAATTGTTCATGTTTTATGTTAACCATTTGGATAATCGCAAAGAACCAACTATGAAAAGTGCTATGAAAAAAAAACAAAGTCATAATGCTTCAAAAGATGCCATTTTTTTAGTCCATATCATATAGTACTGCTTTAGTCCTAGAATTGACCCTTTAGGCATTGCAGGTAAATTGTACTCAGTGGCACACAGTTAGATAACATCACATAGCAACACAGTCTAAACAAACTGGTCCATTTGTCATAATCAAGCCTGATAAGCCTGGCACTGTACACTAATTATAGGGCTGTCATTATCTCTATTATCTTACTTTAGGGCACAAGAAATAGATAACAACCTTTCTTGAGCATACTGACACTATCAACCTAATTATAGGCTTGTCAATTACCGTGTTTAACACATCTGAAGTGTGAAGAAACTTTTATGAGCGCTAACAATGGTTTGAAATCAAGAAACTCACTCAAATGTACAACTCTATACTGAATTTATTAAGATTTAAGAATATTTCTACATTTTCTATTGGGAAAGAGCAGTTTTTCCCTAAACTAATCTAGTAATCAATTGTAACAGACAATAGAGGTTCTGTTTTTTTCACACAAAGACCCTTACTCTGAAACCCTATTGACACATGAAAGACAGGTAACACTTTAAGTGCTCCTTTCTTCTAGGTGTTAGTCACTCAGGTGAGCAGTCTTACAGGTGGGGTGTTTCACATGGAATTCTTATTTGGCAGCAATAGTGAGTATTTCTCCCAAACATCAAGAAATTATGATGAGACACTCAATTGCTAAATATTTCGGAATTATTTTAGGCAAAATGGGTGGAAAGGGGATTTTTAGGCTTTTAGTTGGTTGGAAGAGGTAAGCTATTTTTTATTCTTTCTGGCTAATAGAAAAAGGCATTAAATAAAGTCTGGCATTATAAGGCATTAAACTTTAGAACTACAAACTAAGCTGCAATTTTTTTCACAATTATATGTATGGATAAATCTAAAATTTACCTTTGATAGAACAGTATGCTACAAGTATATGTCAAACATGTATACAATAGTTTTATGTTGATTTCAGCTGCAATAGAACTTGTCACACCTGTACACCTGTCATGAGCACCTGTCATCTTCACAGCTGTGGACAGGTGCAATTTTCTGACAGCAGGTGCTTTCAGGTAAGGCTCTAAGTTTTCTCTTTAAGTTTAACTTGAAGCATTTACTCTCAGACATACTACATTCTCAGTCATACTTAAAACTCATTCAAAGTGTACTCTTCAGTGACATGCACCATTTACTTTCTTGCTGCCAAACTCAACTACCGTTTTAAGAATGTAGTTTAAGGCTCAAACAAGCATAGCAGCATCTTAGCAACGATCTTCTGACGTTATCGCCAAATTCTCAAGTCAACCTTCAGGTTATCTTTAAGAATTCAAGCCCAACTGTTACCATGGTAACGCAAAGGTTAAGAAAATAGAAGACTGTAATGGTAGACTTACTTTAGGTAAGGCCTGCCAGGCTTGTTCGGGTTCCTTGGGTGGTGAAATTGTTCCGAAGTCGAATTTCGATCCTTGGTCGACGAGTCTTGGTAACATGGCCCCGTCCTGTGCGCCCCTGCCGGTCTGAGGCGGCGTGCTCTGTTTGTTAGCGGCGTTCTTCATGCCTGTTGCCGCTACGACGATTGGAAGCTTACGCTCGGAAACGGTCGGGAAAAATTTCTCGCTCTTAACACCTCCCTGTGTAGGTCCGTGGTAACCAGCCAGCATTGTGCATCGTTGTTGATGCTCTTAAACTCAAATCATGGTCCAAACATCAAACTGCAACCTGTTGACAGAAAAAAAAACACTTCCGTGAGGTCTCCAAACAAATCAGTGCACCGTTTTCCCTCCTTGATATCTTGATGACGTTGGTCGAAACTTGTGACATCCGAGGAAAATGAATTTTAGGTTCCTTAAGTCGTTCCTTTCTTGCAGTTTACAGAATCTTGACTCCCCTTAAGAGCAAAGTAAACCCTCCCCACTGTAGCAAAGTGTACGGTGGAAACTAGGAAACAAGGATGGACGCCACTGCGCAGGCGTAATGAGATGCTAATGAGACTTAATTTATGCAGGGCAGGTGAGTAAGTGAAACCTGTACCCTCGCGATACTAAACAAATAAACTATGGGGCAAACACAACCGACTAGGGGATGGAAAAGCACAAAAGTTCATGTTTGCCGACAAAGAGTAAATAGTCTGTCAAGTGAGCTTTACTTACTCTCCAAGCAGAGGTTTGGGTTTGGGGTTATTTTTGGCGTGTTTTTAGGCTTTTTTATCGGGGTTTCTCTTTTGCACTGGAATTTTCTTTTCACCCAACCCCCAAAATAAATTCCAGTGCAAAAGAGAAACCCCGGTAAAAAAAGCCTAAAAACACGCCAAAATAACCCCAAACCCAAACCTCTGCTTGGAGAGTAAGGTTTACTTCTCTCACCAACACAACTTTGTTTTGGGCTTTAGCTTGCAGTGCAACATTTTGCGGCTGTGGCAATAATAGGTTTTGATTAAAATGTTTTTTTTTAAGCTTTGGGTCTTTAAAAAAAGCTAATAATCTTGTGGTAGATACTATCATTGTATTATTTTTGCGCATGAAATCCCCTATCACACATAGTAGACCGTGGTCTACCGACCTTCTTTAGACCATCGGGAATAAGTCGTGAGAGAGGTCGTCTGTGGTTGGGAAGTGGTCGGGAGGAAAGTCGTGGGAAGGTATTAAAGTACTACTTGTATCCTGGTTTGATTCGTGGAATAAAATAGCAAAGAAACAGTGAACAATCTGTGTACATATTTGACTGCTGTAACAGTTTGAACGGAATTTCATTGATATTTTTGGCCACCAACTTCGGTTGCTAGCAACTTTCAAAACTTTTTTGTGGTAAAAAATATCTTTAAACAATCTTCTACGCACGCGCGCTCCTATTGAGAACTGTGCAATAATTATTTTTGCAATATTAAAGCATATCTAGATGTTTCCGAAAAAAATAAAGAATCTTTGATCATTTTAAATGTATATTGTGAGGAAAGAGAACGAAAAACATTAAATGAATACAATCCGCGTTTTGGGTGACCCTGACAATCTTATATTTGCCCGAAACGATGACGACTTAAAGTGCAAAGTACTTTTGAAACAATCCACTCGATGGAGGTCATAAGAGCCATTCTTTGAACCCCCTTTTTTGTTTGTACAAGCGGTGGGAGGGCAAAGTGCCACAATAGACCTTTGAATAGGCTCCCAGTGTTTGAATAGGGACCGTAATAGAGCGCACCAACCGAGAATGGGTCTAGGGCACCTTTTTTGTTGTTCTGTGCTAAAACTTGAATTGACTCGGAAAGCTATCCTTGTTTTTAATTTGCGGTGTTTGTACCTGATTTTTTTTCATTCATGTGGTGTGTATAGTAAATTATTAAATCCGATTGTAAATAACTTTCGAAACGCTTATGTTTTCAGTATGCACTTTTACATGTGTAACGACATTAAATGTGTCACATGCGTCGTCGAATGGTCTTGTTTGATGCAGTAGAATCTTTAATCAGACTGTGACACAACCGACCGCCGACAAGGTTATAAGACGGTCGTTTTCCCTAACAAGACAGCCGAATGTTGCAGGACAAATGCACAACTATCGCAAGAATGCCTTTGCAATCGTACAATGATCGCACGCCATATGTGACGGGCCTAAATTTCTTTACTGATCTGACTAGCGGCAAAGACACCAATGAGGTTTAAAATCAGCATCCTTGAGGATACTTAGACCTTTGGAGTTTGTTTCTAGCTTTGCGTTTTCCAATTCTTGCAAAGTCGCTGGTCAAGTAGGATGCTAAAATTGCGAAAAAAACAAGAAATGAAACTTTAGTTTGGTTAGATTTTTCCACTCTACCATATACCCCCTTGTTTCAATCAAGGACACTGAGTCCTTGCTTCAATTAATGCGAATAGCGTTGCACCTTTGATTTCAGGACATCAAAGATTTGATTTGTAATATAAACCCATCTACGTACATAATAGAAAACAAAGAAATCGGGAAGAACAAAAAGGCTAGATGACTTAAGTCAATTAACTACATGTAGAAATGAAAAAAAGCTGAAGCGCATAGCGATAAGAAATAAAGTAGAAAAAAAAGAAAGCGGAAGAAAATCTACCTCACCACAATTTATGAAAGGAATGACCCCTCGACCACCAAAATGTCTTCTCTAGATCTTTAAGATGGTTCCCGGTGCCGTCTTGAGTCAGTGTACATGAATACAGGTACACCTGTAAGACACCTGACCTGTCCACGGCAGCAGACCGTGAAGACGTCCCAAACTCAGCCGGTCTGGTTACTACTTTGACGCGTGTAAAGCCTCGGTCACAACCCGCCGTATATATGTATAGAATATATTGTCCGTACGTTTTTTGGGAGGCTACGTCTGCTACGTTTTTTCTAAAAACATGGGGAAGGAGTGGCATCGACGCACGTCACTCGCACGTCACTGGCACAGTTTCGCAAGGTGTAAGAGTGTGGTCTGCACGCCACGTCTGGCCGTGAGCGGTTGCGTGCATCGTGCGTTGCGCAAGTGGTAAGTGAGTTGTACGTATACGTGCTTACAACGTACGATCTCTGTGCGATTGCAACCGTAAGGAGGCCGTACTCACACGTGCTTCTTACGTACCGTACGCACGGGGCACGCGCGTCGCCCGTACTCGCACGCACGGGTGGTGAATCCGTAGACCGCACGCAGAAAAAGTTTTACACGCACTTAACGTTCTACGGCGTGTCTGCGTGCTCCCAAATCCGTAGGATTCCGTACGGAGGTGGTACTCACCACGCACGGATGCCCACGTTTTTGCACGTAGACAGCACGCAGAAGCACGTACGGTGGGTTGTGACCGAAGCAAAGGGCCCGAATCACATATTACGTCGTACGTCCGTGGCAAAGCGCAAAACTGAGGCATTCTTGTTACAGTCTTGCACGTATGCTGCAAAAATCACTGCTGTCTTCTTATGCCATGTTGATTTAATTATATGGATGACATCCTCTGGGAACCCCCGAAACTGATGCGAGCGCGCGAATTAAAAAAAAGTTTGGCAAAAAAAGTTGCTTTCATTATGAAATCTACGTGGTCATGAAGGTTCAACAAATGACACTTGAGTAACTGCTTTTTGGCGACACAGAGCATGGTATGGCGAATAATTTACTCTTCAAATTCATTTCTTCACTTTTTCGTTTGATTTTGGCATTCTATGACATTGGTATCTTTTTCCACTATTTTTTTTTTCAACTTTACAGTCTGGTTGAAAACGGCCGAAAATTCATGCGCGCGCGGATGTCATCCATATAATCAAATCAACACGGCCTTAATGGAGCCTTAAATGAGGTTTCTAAAAGAGGAGCCCGCTTTTCAAAGTCCGTGGTGCGAAAACCTCCCAGTCGGTGTCCTTGGGGAGTGTTGACAGACACATTTACCAGGCGTCTTGGTCGAGTCGAGAAAGTTGCCAAAATAGGGTTATGTGAGCTATGGAAGGCAGGGTAAGCTACCTTACCGCTTTCTACGTATTATTTCGTTACGAGTGTCTGGAAGAAACAACATTACTGTACTGAAGAACGTACTGTCGCTTTTCATACGCACATATACGCACGCACACACACACACACACGACTACATACAAAGAGAGAGAGAGGGAGAGAGAGAGAGAGAAACCAACGACAAGAACAATACACTATTTTTCTTTGGGGTAAAAGTGCATTCTTTGTAAACATTTTGTTTCTTCACTTTCCTCCACCATACACTTTCATCGATATCACTCACTCACTCACTCACTCTTTTTCAACGTGTGCAAACAAAGTGATAAGAGAGCTGTGCTTTAAAACCTGCCATTGAAAGATGACTGTAAGCTTCCAAAAGCACTCTTCTCTGACGTTTTTTGACGATAAGGTATGGGGCTAATGACTGGCTTCGAATTACAAGTCTTTTTAATTCTTTCTGTACCCTCAGAAACACAGGCGTGGTTTTTATCCCAAATACACCTTAAAGAAATGCATGAAATTAGTCATCTCTTTAAGTCAGCACGCTAAAACCTTTCTTTGATCCAAGAAGGTTTAATTTTACTATCTTTTAGAATTTCGTACTCTCTGAGACCATTTCCCTACTTTGAAAATACATGTAAATCAAACAAAACTCAAACTTGCTTGCATTTTAAAGTGACATTACCTTTAACATTATGATCAAGTAGAATGTATCAAATCTGTTAAAAACATTGACAAAGAAAGAATATTTACATCTTTTTTATTCACAGAGGACAAATGATACAGGAACCAAATGTTTTGTATCAATACACTACTGTATTTACACCTTATGCCCATTAAGGTCCTTGAAAAGTATTTATGAAAATTACACTACATGTATTTTTTATGACAACATCCATAATACATACATCTAATGTTGATTTTCACATAGATTATATATTTTAACCATGGGTTGAGTTTCAAAATCTATAATTAGCTCGTAGATCTTGGACCATAGATATGTGACCTAGTGTTCTGCTCAAGACAACATCTCAACAATATATGACATTAAATAGGATAGTGAGTGAGTGAATATACATGTAGTTCAGTAACGAGCATGTTTTTTTAATGATAAGGTACGACATAACTCACATCATTAGAAAATGTACATAGAATACTGTAAATTCATTTACTTTCAACGTTGTTTTGTTTTGCAGTAGGAGGAAAAATGACATACGCTTTACCAGTTTTAAATCTACAATTGAAACAGTTCTGTAGCAGAGTAGTCAGACATTTTCAGAGTCATAAATTTTCAGTCATAAGGTCACTACAAAAATAAGACCATTGTAAGAGTTTCACGATTAACAATATCAGTGTTCAGTATCTGTACAAGTCTGTGGCAGTGTTGTTTGTTGTGTGTTTACGGGTAAACATTTACTACAAACACAAACATCATATGTCTAACCCATGTTCTACACACAAATGTACATCATTCACAAATTTCTGGAGCAAAAAATGTGACCCAAAAATGTGATCAATACATTTTGTAATTTCATTTTGACAAACAGCCTCTCATTGGTCAAACCCCTAATTCGCATGCTATGATTGGTCGAATGGCTAATTATGAAGGACAGTCAGGATCAGTCTGTAAAAGAACTGTTGTCACAAAACTAGTTGCTTGATTCTGAGTCACTGCTGTCTGAATAGTTACCAAGAAGTCCCAACCCACTTGACTGTACAGTCTTTACGTTACTCTGTACTCCTTCATTTCTGCTTCCCTCCTTCTTTCCATCTTGGCCGGAACTTTCTTTAACCTCTGAGTTGGTCTTACTCTCCTGCAAAGATTTTGGAATCACCGATGAAGCCACTGTTTCCTTACGGACCAGTTCATTGGTTGAAGACTGTCCTTGCTTGGCTGGTTTCTTGGCCTTGACCAATGAGGAGAGGGATGACTTCTTCACCAGGGAACCGACACTCTTCTCCCATGTTTTTAACTTCTTGTTTTGTGGCTCACTTGGTCCCTGAAAAAAAAGTTGTCATTTTTATTCAATAAAAATCTCACAATTATAACACTGAATGAAAAACCATTGGGAAACATATATTACTGTGTATTATACTCAGGTACATGTATTATCATTGTGGTTGCTGAGTAGGTTGCCAGCACATGGGTGGGGGAGAGATTGACAGGCATAATGATAGGGAGACAGCAGGAGTTAGTATGGACATGGGGGAATTCAGGAAGCCAAGGATCCTATACTTACATGAAAAAAAACACAAGTTGGGTTCTAAAATGCTTTGGATTACAACTCATTACAATTTTTGCTTGAACTTTGAAGAGATTTTACTTGAATATGCTGTTAGAGACAAAGTACTATGGATAAGTTCCAGATAGCAGACTACAACTTAAGTCAGTTTGTAAGGGTTTAAGACTAACCTCTGCCAGCAAGTCTGTTGGTCTCTTGTTTGTGTTGACTCCGTTTGTTGTTTTTCGTCGTTTGTTGGTTTCCTCATCGCTGTCTGAGTCGTCCTCCAACCTCCTGACTACATAAGCCTCACCCATGATCTCCCTGTGTGTGGAAAAACATGGAATGATAAGGAATTTTTCCTTTAGTATAGTATAGTGTCAAGTACATGTATCTTAAGTTTCTTGTGTAATTGTAATTGTGGTTCATTACTTGAGTAAGGTTTTGATTCATATTAGATATGTCTACTGCTAACTATCTCAATGTAGTATCTCCAACCTCTTGTCTTCTGTCATTTTTTTCATTGGTTGAACTGCTTATTTCTATGCTATCATTGGCTTCAAACTGATATTTCCTACTTTCTCATTGGTTGAACTGCTAATTGTGTCACCAATCTCTCATCTGCTTGTCCTTCCTCCTCTTCCTCCAGTCACTTTTTCCATTGGTTGAATTGCTAACTGCTTTGCAATGATTGGTTGGAACTGCTAACTGCTTTGCTATGATTGGTTGAACTGCTAACTGCTTTGCTGTGATTGGTTGAACTGCTTACTGCTTTGCTATGATTGGTTTAACTGCTAACTGCTTTGCTATGATTGGTTGAACTGCTAACTGCTTTGCTATGATTGGTTGGAACTGCTTACTGCTTTGCTATGATTGGTTGAACTGCTAATTGCTCTGCTATGATTGGTTGATCAGCTAATTGAGTCATCAGTCTCCCACCTGACTTGTCTCTCCTCCTCCTCCTCCTGTAGTTTTTTCCTCTCCTCGGCAGACTGGGCGTTCTGCTGCAGCATGGCCTCAAAGTCCACCTTGGCCTGGCGCTGGTTCAAGTCCCGCAGCTCCTCCAGGTTCTCCAGGATGTCCATCTCGTACTTGGAGTCCTTGGTTCGATTCTCGAGCACCTAAGGCAACACAGTACCATGTCAGAGATAGTACAGGATTGGTATCTGCCCTTTGGTGTAACACACAAGCTTAATTTGCTTGACGTTAACCTTCTCCCTGCTGCAAAAAACATAAACAACACAAATTTCGCACCAAAAGGCTGCTACAGCACCTGGTCCAGTCGAACTGTCAAAACATATTCATTTTTGGCAATCTAAAATACATTTTAGAGTGTTTTACTCCTAGAAAATTTGCAATTAGATCTTTTTTGGTATGGATTCAAATGTTTTTCTGTCAAGTCTGGGGCAAACCAATTTTAAAACCTGACATCACAAAATTATTAGCTAAATATAAAGCTATGACACCCATAGATATACTAGTAGTAAAACTTAAAAACTGGGAATTAATACAGTCTGGTTTTCAAAAACCATGCAAACTGTTTTGAATATTAGAGAACATGATGTGGTGTATCAGGTTTGAGCATGACCTCTGACCTTCATGGGGTTGTTGAGCTCCTCCTCCTCCCGTTCCTTCTGAGCGCGCTCCTCCTCCTTCTCCACCATCTCCATGGCCTGGAAGTTCCGTGTCGCGCCCTGCTCAACCACGTAGTCGGTACTCTCGGGGTCAGTCTGGAAGGGAAAACAAAAATACACTGTGCAGGGCTCGAACTTAACTTTTTTCCCTACTGTCCCAGAACTGTCCCAAAAATAAATTCCAACTGTCCCAAAGTGAGGATTGACTGTCCCAAACTGGTTTTCAGGAAGTATGTATTACAACAACAATAAAGCTGAGTCAGAGAACAGTATTGCTGTGTAAGCTAATTGTGAATTGAAGTAAACACAAAATCAACTCAAATTGAAACTTGTCTTGGCTGGTTTATTGTGCCGACAAATGTAGCAAAGACAAGCCAAAGTTCTTTTCAAACTTTCTTTCCATTTTCTTTCCTTCCACTTGTTATGTGTAGGCTACAGTAAGTGGCCCCTGTAAAGTGTGCATACTGCATGCTGCACACTGCAGTACTATATTATACTGCATGTATTACAATTCACAAATATTTACATGTTTAAATGTTTTACATTTCAAGCCCCCCTCCCCCTTCCGTCGGCGCATCCCTCTTTCGTACCGGCCGTACGATCTGGAGGCTGACTCTCAGTTGTTGAAACCACGCCGTCAGACTGAGATGATCCTGAACGTCTTTGAGGATCGACAGCATTGACTGCATTCGACGCCGGGGCCGCTCGCGGCGAGGAGAAAAAAGAGGAAATTTTCCTCTGTGCCATGCCGGCCATGACTCTCAAATTTTCTGATTTCGGCTGTTTTCGGCATTCCATTCGTCATTTCGCGGGAAACTAGGCGAAGTTTACCGAAAGACACCGTACATTCCCGAGCTTTGCCGGTTCACTATATTTGGCATTGTCAGCTGATCTCCCGAGTATCTCCGGAAATATCCGAACATCAAACAGTTACAGTTCGCCATATATGGCAGATGCCTTGATTGGATGGAAGCTGTGATTGGTCGAATGTTGTTTACATGGATAGAATGTCTGGGAACTGGCGTGGGAAAGTGGCGCCAAGGCGGCGGGCTGCAATAGATGATCAAAGGCGATGGGCGGGGCGACAAAATAGTGGCCACATGCGTACACGGGTGCCACACGCGCTGCTCAGCTGAGTGTATATCGAATTTGGCGGCTTTTGGTGAGGCCCAAAAATGGGTTGCGCGCCTGACAAACGTATGAACGGCTGACATTCTGATTGTGAATGTTCGTTATTTTTCCAGTGTCCCAAAAATGTCCCAAAGTGATTTTTCAGTTGTCCCGGCCGAAATTTTAGTGGCCAGGGGACATCGGGACATCGTTAAGTTCGAGCCCTGCAGTCTGTGGATCAGTATTCTGTGTTTTGAATATCATCTCATATGTATGTACAATGACATACATGTACATGTCATTTAAAAAAGATCCTGACTTACATACAAACTTTAATTTCACTAATCTAGTGAAAGCTAGTGACAATTTGATCACAGCTAATGTACTCAGCCCAAAAAAAATATTCAGAAAGAAAGCAAGTTTTAAAATCATTTCCTGTGTTTCTTGAAAGCATTTTTATACAAGATGTAGACTTTCTCAGTGTGGGATCAACAAAGTTGTATCAAAAATGACTATTTAATAAAGAATACACAATGTATTTCACTTTGAAATGATGTCTGTTTAAAAGATGGAAGGCAAAAGGATAGAGGGACCTATACTATTTACCAGCAATAATGTTGGTCCAGCACTTTTAATCTTGACAATAAGTTGTAACTGTACCCACCCTGAAGGATATCTCTGCACAGCATCTGGGACACTTGATGTAGAACCTGAAGATCCTGAGTCCCAGGTACGTCATGTTCTGTACTGTCTCCTTCCTCGCATTGAACTTCTTCCCTTTGTAGATATACTCTCCACATGTCTGACATCTGTCAAAAATCAAAACAAAGCAATTTCAACCCAAAAATTCAATAAACTGAAAAAAATGCAACATTCTCCGCCACCTTGTAATACACTGTATCCCAAAATTTGTGGTCAGTATTGCAAATTTGAGGTGACAAGGTGGTCCTAAGTTGTGGTTAGGGTTATTGATAATATATAGAATCTAAAGGTTCTGAAAAGTGTTGGATTAAGGTTGTGTCGGATTAAGGTTCACTGCCCTGAATCAAAACCATTTGTACAATGATTAAGTCAAAATTTTAAAATGTAGGAACCTTGTTTTTTTCGGCCCGCGTTGTTCTTTTTTTTTTCGCCCGCTCGCATTAGATTTGGAGTCTGCGGAGGATGTCATCCATAAAATTTACTTGCTGTGGCCTTATTACCAACTTACCTCATGTTACATGGTGCCATGAGTCGAACCACATACTGCCTCTCCTTGGGAAGTTTGAGTTTGGGGAGTTTGGATGGATCAAAGTCTGGGGGGTAGTATTTCTGTAAATGAAGATGGTATGTAGTGAGTCCGTATAGATATGATCAACAAGATCTGCTATTAAAATAATAAAAGATTTGTTTGTGGTCAATGTTAATCATTGATGTACAAACAGTTAATTTATATAGTTTCAAAGTTCCTGCGGATGATGAATTTAGTACATCATCATCTAAAGGGGCTAATAATTTTCACAAGTCAGCTGCATGACCTAACATCTAGATCTACCCCCCCCCCCATCTTCTTTGGACCCACCCACCCCCAAAATAGGACACTTTTACCTCTTCCCCCTAAGTTACTGAAACCCAGTGGTTCACCTTAATCCTACTTACAAGTCTTAAGTGTTTAATATTTAGCATAAGGTCACAAAATAATATTCGAGTGAGTTGTAAAAGTTGACATGCCCCCCTCCCTCAAAATTATTCGACGCTGAAAATATCAGTCTAGTAGCCATTAACAGTTGACAAATCACCTAGATCGCTACTTACATTGAGAACCTTTCTCTCAGACATCTTGTTCTTGTTGTTTCAGCGTCTAGTGGTCCAAGGAGGCGACAAAATCACGTCTTCAAGGAGCAGAACTTTTCCTTCTACCTCTTCTCAGCGCATCGATGAAGCTAGTCTACCCACAATCCACCGCGGTTGCAGTTCTGAAATTGGACGCTGGGGGGAGCTTCATTTACTCACTTTCACTTTGCTGTCTTGGAGAAGAGCTGAGGGATTCTGAGGTGACGTTGAATTAGAAGTTGGAGGCATACAGACGGTAGTAGAGTTGTAGTTAACAGCCATGGATTGGTAGTATGTTAAGGAAAAGTAACAATAGGTTTGTAAATCCTTCTTGCACATGCTTCCTACAAGTAAGGAGTGCAGCTGTCTTGCTCAATTTAAACATGGAGGTACAAATTTGTATATTATTATTATGGGTTCACCACACCACGAAGTGGTGTGGTGAAACCATATTGCTTTTTCTGATGTTTCTTCTCCTTCTCCTCCTCCTCCTGCCATATCTTTAAATGGATTCAGCTTCTTCATTTTAGGGCCTAAGGTCCTGAAATTTGGTATGGAGGTACAGTGGGCAAATACCCCTAGGCGTTTTTTAAATTATTGTGATACAGGCTTTTAGAATGGTTTTATTTGAGTTTTTTGGCTGTGTTATAGCAAATGTATTACTGTGTTAGTCTGCCTTGTTTACCACGTTTGGGCATGAGTCATCACAATGGAATGCAGGGCATCAACCAATAGGCATGCAGCTTTCCTCTATACTTCTTGCTGATTGGCTGTTGGGATTTAACTTGATTAACACCTGCACAGAAGCATTTCCATACTGACAGTATGTCTGTATTCAAGTGTTTTGGTAGGTATTTCAAGCTTTCCTGCTCCAGCATTGGAATGCCGGGCATGGACGTTTTTTTTTTTATTTTGAAAATCAACAGTTTGCATTATGCAATTAAAAATCCTAACCAATAAAGTAGGGAATAGCTATCCAACTGTTGTTTTAGTTGTATTTTACTTCATATTATAGTTATATCAATGTAAATCATTGTTTTCCCTTGTGTTTCCCATTCTTTCCCTGCCATGTCGTAAAATGTGGTGAACCCATCGCTGTATTTGCTCCAAAGCAAATATTGGCCTTTCTAGTTGGTTACAAATTATGTGGAAGAGAGACTAAGTTAAGGTAGCCTGGTTTCCAGACCTATTTTAGCTCAGGAAATAGACACGGGAGCTTAACTAGGTCTGGTTACCAAGAAAGTTATATGGTCCATAAAAATCATGCCATTATTTTAATTTGAAATCCTCTAAAAAAATGCAGGAAATGCCTTTTCAGAAGGTTAAATTTTCAAAATAAAGGACCCCCCAGGAAGCTCGTGCATTCAGCGCTTGCCTCGTGCCTTTTGGGCTTGCTGGTCCCTCGGAAAGACCCCCTCCCCCAGCAAAACCCTTGCTGTGCTCCTTGCTACCACAGCAACGATTTGTATGAGCTGATGACCATCTACAAACACTACATGTAGAAAGTTTTTAGGTGGTCGTGGTCATGAGCTCCTCCCTCCTCATAATCTCATGATGGTCACTGATCATATCATGGCCTTTTAAAACTCCATGGTCATATACATGTTCCCAGGCCGATAACCATTCCTGTTTTAGTTTGTGTTTGTGTTTTTTCAAGCTTCCCTTTTTTTTCCTAATCCAAATTCGTTTTCCATTATAAACATTGAGCAATAAATAAACAAAAACTGTAGATGGTTGTTCATGATATTAAGTGGATGGTTAGGGGCAGCAAAGATCGATGAAGGTCAAGTTTGATAATGTGCCTCCTAGCGGGTATGCATGGTACTGTAGTGGAGCTTCAATTTGTTCAAAGTTTGAAGTTAATTTTCCACATGTGTTAGGTTAATGATTTTTGAGCAGTGGACCTGGAAGTAATTAAAGTTTGTGGGACTGGAAGTAATTAAAGTGGTGTATGTTTGGGCCCCGGCTAGCAGCTTGTTCTGGAATTGCAGTGGCATTTGTTTTAAAACCTTTGATATTTTTTTTTTGAAGGAGTACTATACTCAAGAACCCGTCAGCCGATCTTCGTGATTTTTGGTACATGTAGGTAGCTTAAGTGATGCTTGATATAATTATATGGCAATTATACAAATATGGATCTAAATTGCAGAATTGATGAGGAAATTCTTTGAATCCACTGCATTTTATTAAAGGGCTCAGTAAACTGCAGTAGAATGGGCCAGGTGTACATCTTGTTACAGTCCATATTTATTTTGTTCATGTTTGATACAAAAATACATGAAAAGACATTCATAATAGTGAAACATTACTTTAGTAATTTACTCTAGCCTGGCATGGGTGCCATCCTCTGTAGTTTCCGCCGGCTGCCAAATGTCGCTGGTAGCTAGTGCTGTGTACCTGCTGAGTTCACTGCACCAGCTCCGGACTTGTAAAAATGTTTAGGTTCAAGTCCAAAAAAAAATCAAGAACCAATTCCGGACCTACTGTATCATAAAAAAAGACCATGTCACATACCCTATTTTGTTCCAAACCACCTGAAAACCTTCCGTCTAGACCGTGTTTCTTCAGACACCTGGGCTACAATCTACAGTTTGCTGTACTGACGATTTGAGTTGTTACGACCCGTCTAATGATAAACAAAGAATTCAGATGGTTTCCAGTTTGATGCATACTTAACTCTGTATTCCCTGCAGAGCATCCAAGTATCCTACCAAGTACATGGTGCAGGTGTAGTTAATTTCCAGTGCCACCTTCACCAGTGCAGGTTAAGGATTTTGAGCCCTAAAAATATTACATTAGCCCACTGACCACTGACATTCATAAATAAATTTTGTACTCATTTTCTTCAGACTTATACAAATAGCTCTTATTTACATTTCTTGATCTTGCACGAAATTGATTATATACATTCCCATAAAAATAGTCATCTGCTCTAACCTAATTGCTTATTCAACAGAATTTGAGACATCCATATATAATACCGGTAACACATATCTTCTAATAAATACAAACTTACTTTGGTCATTTAACTCCACAAAAATTTAAAATCTCCTCCAAAATTCTAACATGACAGTGTTTTTATTTGCTTATACACTATACGTATGTACATATTCAGTCTGTATCTTGCATAGTTAAATAGGGTTCTAACTGTCAGGAAGACACTAATGCCAATGGCTGAAACTGTCATGGGCTGGACAATTTGAACCAAATCCATTCTGAAGCCACCCGTAGAAACAGGCTTGCAAGTTCGACTCTGATGACATGCAAGCAGCAGGATTTTCCATTATCGAGCCTGCTGGATAGGATCTTTGGGCATTCTACAGGGTTACTGTCATCATCATCTGTTGAAGCTGAGCCATCCTGCATACCTTGATTGTCTTTGGAAGAGAACAAACAGCATGTTTTTAGTCAATACCTAATTATTGAGTTCAATTAATTTTCAAACATACCGGAGGGTAAGCTTCTTATCATTTTTGAGGATAGTTGAATGTATTATGCATCAGGTAAATGCAATGATGTGTGCAAGAAACAGTTTGTAGACTAATTTCCCACAGACTAAGAGAGAAAGGAAAACATTGTTATATTTAATTTTCAATGCATAATAATTGTGTTAAGTTTAATTTCTCTTGGTATATGAAGTTAGTGTATGAAGACTTCTTTTAATATACTACATGTTTAAATTCAACTGGCTCACACCTCACTCCTACCTATAGATATGTAATACAATATCATACAATGTGCAATTTCAACCTACTGCAAAATTAAAACAGTTGGACCAGGGAAATCTTTATTGAACTGCCATTGTATGTACTACAAACCTGATAGTGGAAGCTCAATCTCTGGTTGAGGCTGTGGTTGATCAATCTCTTCCTGTGGAGTAGCAGCTGGAGCTACATGAAGATGGAAAATGGAGATGACTATATGAGCATTAAAAATTGATACATCAAGGAGGTTATAGATTTGGATAGTATTACTACATGTATTTATTGTATCAATCAGGATAAGTGAAGCAAACAGGAAAAATTCTTGGAACATAATCTCAATCTTTAGTAAATCTAAATCCATGTACATGTAGTGATTGCATAATGACACTACATCAGATTGTACGTTAAGGCTACACCAATTCAGTTTCTCTGAGTTCTCAGATGCTGTGCAAATAATGGGGCAATGGCAAAAAAAGGAAATTAAAAAGAAACATTAATAATTGTAAACTTAAGGCTTCTATGAAGTTTTTACAATACCTGTTGGTTCTATGTCGAAGAATTGCAAGAAACCTTTAACTAAATCTTCTTTGATCTCAGGATCAATGTCATCCTCATGGAACTCTTTTATAAGCTCTTTGTATTGTGGAACCCCTGTGATTCCAAACTTCTTTAATACTTGTTTTGCATTGGTGAAAGAAGGCCGTAGATCCTTTTGCCACTTTCCTATCTCATCCTCACTGCTACGATGGTGCTGGAAGACATAAAGGGAAGTCTAGTGGCAGACAAGTAGATTCTTCTAACTTACTATTTAATTATTGTGTATTTACTGTACAGTACTTAAAACAATGACAAAAATACCATATATACACAAATATACATCTTAGATGTTCAATGTCATGTGGACAGAGCCTAATACAACTGTATAGAATTTATGCAGGCCAGGACAAGACAAGGTTGCCCATCATCTTGTTTGCCATTACACTAGTGAGAAAATAATCTGTTGAGATGATAGATAGACGAGAGCATAACATCTCTCAGTTCCCCATACTGATTTTGGAGTGAGGAAAAATACTATCAGATGACATGATATTAATTCTAGCAAATGAACATTCAGTACTAAATGCAGAAGTAATAGCTGAACCATGTAGTACATTTTGTATATGTGGAATGGTATCATTATAACAATTACCTTAGAGATATCCTGCTGGTCTTTGCTCTCTTGCTTAAGAGCCAGATCCAATGACGATCTATAGTCCTTCTCGATGGTCAGGTATTCAAAGTGTTCATTAATGTAGTGCCCTAACTCTTCCTGTGTCTCTTCTAAGCTTTTCATTTGCCCTAACTCTTCCTGTGTCTCTTCTAAGCTTTTCATTTGCCCTAACTCTTCCTGTGTCTCTTCTAAGCTTTTCATTTTTGTTTTTTCTTTTTTTTTTCTTTTCTTTTTGTCACGCCAAGACTTCAGTGCTCTAGCAGACAGGAGGTAGTTTTCCTGTTCGTTTTTTTTGTAGCAATACAACTTGATTTTGAACTTTTTTGAGTACCCTTTTGTTTCGTCCTGTAGTCTTTCTTGTTCCTTCTGTAAAGCTTTGTCTGATCTATAATCCCGATCTACCAGTATGAATATCCTTACACAGATTTGCTTAGCTTTACCTGGAAAAAGGCTGTCCAACGCACTAACCAACCTGACTATGTTGTCCACTTTTGGTCTTCCTCCACAGCTGTATGTTACAAACTTGTCTTCTATGGAAGTGCCAGGATGGAGGTTCTTAATCCATGCTTTCAACACTTTTGCATCTGGTTCACTTTCTACCACAAGAAGGCATTTTGTATTTAGTGTTTTGGACAAATCCATCAACATGGACGTGTGGGTACTGTCCTTACACAAGGTTTTAAGTTCTGATAGGACATCCATTTCGATTTTGCAGGGGCCAGTTTGACCATCAAGTGACACAATACTATTGCAGGCCATCAAGGTATCTACTGCATGGCATGCCAGTACAACACAGATATTTTTGTCCTTTAGATATACTAATAGCTTTTTCACCAAATTGCCATGAAGCAAGGAAACAGGCTCATCTAGGAGTAGATAAACTGGTGAATTCTCTCTAGCCGGCTTTTGGACTTGAAGAACTGCCAAGATGATGATGATGACTTGCTGTAAGCCTGCATCACATTGATGTAGTGGAAGTGTGACACCCTTTTCTTTTACCTTTATGTCTAGTTCTTTCCTGCCAACATCCCAGGTAAACTCTACCTTACATTTTTTCCTGCCAAATTTTTTGAGTAGACTGGTAATCTCTCTACTGAAAGTTTTACAGTTATCAATTAAACCTTTCTCAGTTTCTTTGTATTGTTCTGTCTTTGATTTAAGTGTGGATTCTGCTTTATTTTCAGCAGCTTGTGCCATTTTGTACATGATGTACTCATTTGATCTGTGAGTTTTCTTTATGTACAAATGCGTGTCATCAATTTCTGCATCTGGCATATTATGGCCACTGCGTAATTCTTCATACTGTTTTTCAATCCTCGTGAATTTTTCAAGATCCATTCCTTCTAGATCTCCTTTCAATACATCATTGAAGGCCTTCTTAGTCTGGGCAGTCTCTGTTTCTTTACTGTTTAATTCCTGCCCAGCCTTCAAGTATTCTCTGTTTAGCCCTTCTAATTTACTTACTCCCAGTAGACAGCTGATATCTTTGACATTGTCAACATTAATCTTTTTTACAGCCCTACTTTGTACATGTATGTCTTCACAACCAACAGGTTCTTCTGCTACCTGTTTGTCAATGCAAAATGGCTTGCTAAACACGCCTGCATTTGAAATAGACACAACAGTTGGGCATCCAATCCCAATTAGCTTTGTTTTGTCAAAGTTGCAGGTAATTATCACATCACCTGTCTTCGAATCTTCTGTGACTGTAAAACAAATTGGCTGGTTTTGCATTGTCCCACTAATCTTAATTGGTTTGTCAGTTTTTTCGTCATGCCAAAGAAGTTTATAATCTTTAATACCTAACAGGTTTGCAAAAGATGTAGATTGCCATACATTTTTGCCCTGTATCATCAACTGATATAGTATTGCAAATAGTTCAATGCTCTTCAGCACTGTAGTCTTGCCTGTGCCATTGTCACCCAAAAGAGAGGTTGACACTCTGTCAAGCTGAATGTTTGTACTTTCTTTAAATCTACGAAAGTTTTCTACACGGATGTCAGTCAGCAATCCTTCAACATCTGATGATTCTGTTAAAAAAAAAAAAACTTAATTGACACCATGATGATGGCATTTAATCCCTCATTAAAATATATAAAGAAACCAACGTTTAAGTTAAGTTAGTGAACAGTTCTCCAAATACATGTATCCAAATATAGGGCTGTGTGACAAAAATCATGCAAAAATGATGGAGACACGATCAGCTTAACTGAAGATTCCAAACTTTTCGCTAGGTTTACTACATGGCCATTTTTTTCTCAGACCGTAAACTTTTGCTACCGCAAACATAAAGTGCTTTACAGTATTAATGTTACCACTAGACTCCCGAGACTGAAGGCAGGGCCTCTGGTAACTTGATACCCTCCCTAGCAACCAGAAGTTCTTTAGAATCTGACAACTAATCATTTGAGCTTACTTTTGGTAATGTCATTGAATTCACAATTATCTCGGAAACATATTTTGTAGTGTGTGAGTCGGCATAGTCTCCACATAAGCTCCACCTGTGGCCATCATTTTGATTTAGCCATTCTTTCCTAATTACATTCTGTTTACTTTAACTGCTACCATTTTCTTAATGGTTTCTGTCTTCGATTACACAAAAAAGATGGACATATTCAACAACTTACTAATAGGCCATATGTATGTATTATAGCAGTTATCATTGCTACAAAGCATCGAAGACCTATACCTGACCTGAGCAAGACTGTCTTAACACCTTTACCTGACCAAACATGAAATTAAGGCAGCTACCCTACAGAACACCCGCCAGGATGTAAATGGCTAATATAGCCTTGGAGTCTGGACTTAGGTATGTACTTAAGTTTAGCCTGGGTCAGAAGATATAAACTGTACCTTAAGTGAGTCTTAAAGGGTTATGTAAAGCTGGTACTTGTTATAATCACTCAAATCAATTTTTAAGAAAGTTGGTCACAAGTTTTTCAGCAAATTTTTCATGGGAGGGCAGCCTAACTTGACAGCCAAGTCAGAGCAAGAAAAAAAAAGGTATACTAGTATACAGAGGGCCTTGATGCCTTGGTTAATTACCTGCTTCAGCCATGTTGGATTATTTTGGTAGGACCATTCACCAATGGACAGGCCACACAACGTTACAATTCTTCTGACTTTACGGCGCTAGACAGGTGAACAACTGGTACCGGACTGAGTGTTCTCAACAACCATGCTTGATACCAAAGAAGCCCAACTAACGCCAAGAGGACGCACATTGATATTGGTGGTTGGTTCTTATTGGTCTATCACACAATGCATGTTGGTACGCAATGTTTGCACAAGGTTGTCAGCTGATGTTGTTTTTGACCAAAGTTCATCACCGAGCACCTTTTGTGTCAACAGAAACCTGATCACCTGTGGGGGCCCACCTTTGGGGCCTTGCAGTTAGAACCAAATCAGCTTTTCAAAAAAAGGAAGGATAATCAGTCAATTTTGTTCAGGATTTAAGATCAGAGTAAAGTGTGAAATACAAAGTACATTGAAATGCAATATACCTGATGAGCTGGTTTTGAGTTTCAAACTTATATGTATATGTTGAGGTCTACTCATGAGTATTACAAATAATGAAGGAAATTTAATGGAAGAAGCAGCACATGTAGGCAGAAAACTGGATAAGTACTGTATTGTGGACATTGCATATGATTAGGTCTTCATTCACGTCATTTATGTCATTCTGTCAATGTCTAGATGTCACAATGTTTATTATATGCCACAATGTTTAAATGGTCCAAACATGACTAACTGTTGTTCAAACACCAACACACACACATACGGCTCCGTAAACATAACATTATTTTCTCATTAGTTGCATTTATCGATAATAGCATATCACATTTCACATCTTATTTTGGAATGCAGTGGATTTAAAATAAATAATGCAACTTAGGTTCTGATTTGCATAGTTTGCATCTATCCATGACTACCATCAGTTACGCTCTCTACATACCAACCCCTTTGTCACACACACATATGGACTCAATAACATTAACTTTCTAAATTTAAAGGTAATTAAGTGTGGAAGTATAAAGACCCTAGAAGTAGATCTGATATAGCCTCCTTCACAGACTTGTGGGACAGTGGCGTTAACTTTTTGGGGGGAGCGACACAAGTTGTGCCGCAGAGGGAGTTTGCCGCTCTGCCATAACTGAACCACTGTCCCACAAGTCTGTAAAGGAGGCTAGATCAGATTGCTCACTAGTAATAAACAACAGCCTGATATTTTCCGTAGATTGTATTTCTATCATGTGTTACTACTATATCAGCCTATGTAGGTCAATTTCATAATTATATATTCACTCCAAAAGCTAATTCAACACATCCATACATGACAATATATCATTAATGTTACATAAATATACTTTTTCTTTTGATCATGATGATGCACACAAAATTGAAATAGCTTTCTTTACACAGACATGTAAGTAAAAGATAGAAAAGGCATAGCATAATTTTCCTTTTATACCTATATACATGTTACAACTTTTCCGGCCCCAGATGGGCATGAATAAAAGGTTAATGCCTCGCCCCAAGGTGTATATGGTGAGATAATCCCTGGTCAGGTGTGATAACTGCCAAATAAACCACAAAGTGAGCGTAGCGAATGAGGTGGCTTATGAGGTGGTTATCACACCTGACCAGGGATTATGTCACCATATACAACGAGGATAAGGAGGAGCATTATCTCAGTTAAATGTTATCTTTATCTACTATTTGGACTTGGACCACGAAGGTCAATATATTTGTCACATTCCTTGGCAACCTCCAACCATAAAGTTGTTACCACCACTTGACACATAACTTCCTTCGTTAGACATTTTACAACTTTCCTGAAAATTCCCGGTTCAAGAAAGCAACCAATGTCATCCAAGAGCAATGTTGCAGTGGGAACATCACCTGGATGATGATGATGAAAGTGGCCACAGTTAGCACATGGCCTATGTAGCCTGAAGCGTTTTAGTGAATGTAAGACGAAGGCAAGCACTGAAACAACCTGTAGCAAACCAGAGGCACATATCTGTAGTGGAATATTTGCTGATTCCTCTTCAATCATGACAACCTTTTGTCCTCTTTGTCTTCCACCATTTACAATTCTTATTGCACATCCTGGTCGAATACTTTGCAGCATATTTCCAAAAGACTGCCAGTACACGGGGTGCTGTTCCAATTCATACAGCATGTTAAAGATCAGTGATTGATCCAATGTTAAGACTGGAAATTCAGAAAAGGGAACTTCTTCAGGGACTTGTGGTTTGTAGGCATCTCTACTGACAGCATTAAGCACTGCCAACACAAAATTGTGACCCTGTTCAAGCAACACTGATGATATTTTATGGACCTGAACATAAGCACCTCCCATTTCATAGTCAATAGTGAATTGTGCATGCTTTCCCCCCATATCTGTACCACTGATTATGATGGGTTCTGTTGTATCTCTTCTGTACCATAAATCTCTGATATCTGATATAGCAAAAACATCAGTGATCACTGAATTTGGAATTGTTTTTCGACGTCTGTTAGACATATTGTGAGACAATGTTGCAAGGAGTAGCCAAGCCCTAAGGGATATTGTTTTTCCTGATGAGTTTGGTCCCAAAATAGCTGTTGTCTCTGGGTGAAAATCAAAGGATTGTTTGTCTTTAAAGCATTGAAGATGTTCCACTGTAAGTGTTGCCAGTGTTGCCCCTCCCGTTGCCTCTCCTATTTCCCCTCCTATTGCCCTTCCTGTTGCCCCTCCCGTTGCCGCTCCTATTTCCCCTCCTATTGCCCTTCCTCCTAAAGCTATTAGCCCAACTATTTTCCCTACTGCTGCCAGTAGTGTTGCCCCTCCTACTGCCAGTGTTGCCCCTCTTACTGCCAGTGTTGCCCCTCTTACTGCCAGTGCTGGCGCTCCTACTGGCCCTCCTGCTGCCAGTGTTGCCACTCCTGTAAAAAGTCCAGCATGATATGAAATAAAACATTTGTCACAGTGGCATATAAACTATCTCTCTCTTTTCTCTGAGAGAGAGAAGAGAGAGAAGATTACTTGTACAATGTATATCTATCTATCTATATGTATCTAAATATCTAAACTATATGAAAAGCGCTCATTGTCAGACATCTTACGCTCTGTTCTAGGGCTCCTGTGTTCACCGTGGATAGCTTCTTCATAACGTTTGCGTAATGTGTTTTGACTTCTATCTACCCGAGAGTGAAACAGACTCTCAGCTTTTGAAAGAGTACCTTGGTAGTCTTGACCACGATGTCTTGAAGACAGCTCCTGAAAAATAGTTAACTCAAAAGTTGGTCAAGCAACAGGAAATGTGTGGTCAAAGAAATCAATACATGCCTCACCCCCATCATACTCTTGAACAGCTCAGTATTCAAATGACAAACTAAATACTTTGAAATGCAGTCATCCTTAACCATAGATGTTGGTTCCTTACCTTCTCCTCCAACAAAAAAAAACATCTCAAAGGACTGCAGGATATAAGTTACAGTAACTGTTATAAGACTCAGAGGAAAAATTTAACAAATAGATATAGTAGGCTTTACGATCAATATTTTAATATTTAGATTTTCTCTTGGTGTAAAAAGAAAATGTGGTTGTTAAAAATTTTCTCTTGTTTGAAGAGGTTCAAGAATTTACTGTACCATGTTTCTGTCATCAATATCAGCTCTATGCCGCAGCAATACTCTCACACACTCAATGTGACCTTGTTCAGTTGCATATTGGAGGGGAGTGTTTTTCTGAAAAAAAAAAAACATTGACAGTTTTGTTCTTGTTAATTAAGTACAGTATCTGTTCATATACAATCATGACCTGATGGGCATTGGGCACTAGTACTAGCAGTGACAAGACATTTGAAGCTTTGTATAGAATTGTTAAAGTAAAATTTGCAATGGTATAGAACAGAGATGCCAAAGAATTCATACAAATTATATGGAATTCATACGAATTTGACGGAATACACAAGATCCATTACTACAAAACATACAAATTTTACAAAATATATACAATCCATTACGCGGAAACATATGATCCTTACTAATTTGGTGACTTGAGCCACGATCACCGCGTTCCACCAATTCTCAGCTTTGCCCTGCCATTTGGTCTACAAAGTACAATACACTTATTTGTCATCAAAGAAGCCCGCATAAGTGCAGGCTGGAGTTTATGGTGTTGAGCAGGGTGGGATAAACTCTTAAAGTTCTTTAGGCCACACCAATTTAATTGGTTGTTCTCTGACTTTTCTCAGAAAAACATGAAGTGACAGGGAAAAAAAACAGGTCTAGTCTCTCTAGGCATCCTACATGTATCATAGCCCCAAATGCTAAAATAGCAGCCATGAAGTGAACACAAAAGGCTGGGTTAATATTCAAACAATGAATTTTGAACTTTCTATCAAACCACTGCATTGACAGATGAAACACTGTAATATACAGGAAGGACTTTTCTCAAGTGTTGGGGGCAAGATATTAGCATTTTTACTCCGTGAAGGAGGTCAGGACCTCCGGACGGAGTGTTGTGAACGGCTGATTTTTCATGTTCGCAGTCAAAACACTGGGTTCTCTTTGTGTAATCGGCACGCAATTTTATACGCCGTCTGCGGGCATGCCCGTGTTGATGCACGAATGTGTATTTTTGCCGTTGCTGCTTTCGCGGTCAATGTAATATTGCAGACGCACCCCTACAATTACGAGGCGAATTGGAATGGTCCAGAAAAACGCGTTGTTTGGAATAGCAGTGGGGGGGTGGAACTTCATGCAGATACGGGGTGGTTTTTATAAGTGGTTCCAGATGTTTTTGCCCATGGTTAAGAGATGGCAAGTTTTTTGGAAGATGTTCGCAGCCAAAACGCATTCTTCCGTACGTCGCATTTCTGTAATTTCGCATGTGGTGTGGCATTATGTCCGGGATGATGCACGTCTTTTTATTTTTACCGTAGCTGTTTTGATATTGGAGTAAATGCTTATTTTTTAAACATCCCCATGTCGTTGAAATGTTTTCGTCCAGCCGTTTATGTGACCGGTAGTTGTAAGTCGCGGTCAGGCTGATGGGGACGGAAATGTGGGGTGGTCAGAGGTCAACATTACGAAATGTAAATACCGATGACGTAATCCTATCGATTTCAAACTGGTCGGCTGTGGCGACCTAGTGGCGGCGTGTATTTAGTCACGTAGCAACTGGCCGGTCGTCCTAGCAACGAGCATGCTGGCCGCTCCACTGTACACATGGCCAATATTTTTGGGTTGGGCCGCTCCATAGTGTTTAAATATAATAGTGGAGCAGCTCTTTGAAAAAATGGACAATATTTTTGCACTGAGCAACCCATCAATGTGTTCTCGGCCTCGTGGTCGGATGTGGTCTGGGGCTGGTAAACCGCACATACTAGTAGATCGGGTAATTTTATGATTTGCTAGTTGTAAAGGCGTCTTGTAGTATGAGCCGGTATATGAAGAAGTAGCGCCTGTGTTACACAATCATGCTTTCGGCCGGATTGATGTGCAACTGTTACTAATTACAGGGACTGCGCTAATGCCGACCAGTCGCGCTGTCCTGATACACCGCGAATGTTGGGCAATATGCGAGTGTTCCCTGTAGACAGTCCCGGGAGTCATTTTTTCGCACATTCGCACATTCCAGGAGCCAAACCAAAATACGTTCATGAACCGAGTCCAAAAAACCGAAACATGAAAATCGGATGATCGGACCTGATGTACATTTCTCTTTCTGTAGATTGTACACACAATACATACATCTTTAGATAATCTGGCCATGGCAGGTAAAAAAAAAGTAACCCTGAATCATACTAGATTAGCGTAAATGCATGTTTATGCGTTCAAAACAAGAAAAGAAATTGTTTCCCGGTATTAATCTCTTTAAACACGGCGCTGAATATTGACGCAACAATATTTCGGGCATCGCGCGCCCTTCCCCGTTGTTTAGACTGTATGCAAATCCAGCGTCACGTGTCGGCATTTCGCATCTCTGATTGGTTGTTGCGTCTTAAGATAACTGAGCCGACGTGCGTTTAAACAATTTTTCTTTGTTCGATTTATCACACTTCACAGAGAATTGCCAATGGCTGCTTCTTTTTGTTGCAATATATAATACTTCACGGAGAATTGTCGCCTATGGCTTCTTGTTTTGTTTATTTTTTAAGAGGTGATTCCAAGAACCAACAAATTAAATTGGTATGGCCTTGAAACCAAGATATTATTATGTTGAGAAAAATTCACCATCTTGAATTTGCCGCAATTGTCATGCAATTGTGGCACAAGTCACTAAATTAGTGACGCGTAATGGATCATATGCATTCAGTAAAATTCCTAAGTTTCTAGTTGTAATGGATCAAATGTATTCCGTAAAATTCTTATGTTTCCAAGTAATGGATTGTATGAATTCTGTAAAATTGGTATGAATTCTTTGACACCCCTGCATAATAATTTAATTAACTAAGTTAGCACAGTAGTCTGACCTGTATGTCCTGTCTGTACACATCTGCACCATTTCTCAGTAAAGTTGACACAGTTTCATGGTGGCCATTTATAGCTGCCCAGTGCAGGGGAGTCTTTAGCTGTAAAACAAATCAGGCAGCAATACATTGACAAGATGGACTGAAGCATAGTCACATGCAGGTTTGTTCAGGTGGCATTGTTGGTGACGTAAAGAATGAGAAAATTTGCCATCAAATAAATGATGGCAGATGGTTGTCAGCAGGAAAAGATATGTTGTAAAAATGAGAGAATGAATTTTGATGAACTCACTGGGGAAAATTGGAAAATCAGACCCTTATAATTTGAAAACAAGTATGATGGCCCATTGTTGCTTTCTTGGGTGACTCCTGATCTGTAAATAGATTTTACTCCACTGCAGCTGTGCAACCAGGTATTTGAAACCTTAAGGAATCAAACTTAAGTGTCACAAATTACATGTGAAAGAGGAGGATTGCATTTACTGTAGTTAGTTAATGTAGTACTACCTACCTCCCAGTCCTGTGCATTCTCTTCTGCACCAGATGCCAGTAAAACTGATACAGTTTCATGGTGGCCATTCATAGCTGCAAAGTGTAGGGGAGTCCTTTGCTGTAAAATGCATAACAATACAAGATACAAGTTCTAAATTAGCATCGCAACTTTAAACTTACTAGTATGTTGCTAGTACATGTAGTATTTAACTACAACATAACTTGTAAGGATACAAATTTTATATCAACAAATGGTACAGGATCATGTGATATACATGAATACGAGATAATATAACACGTCGGCAGAACAGGTGCAACAGGACACAATAAATCGTTCCTAAGATTAATAACTTAAAAGAAATATTAGTTGACAATACCACAATTATTAACTGATGCATCACAAGAAGATCTTCATATTACAATAACATACTATGAACCCCAGCAGTCAATCTACCTACCTCACTGTCCCGTGTGTTCACATCTGCACCATCTGCCAGTAAAGCTGATACAATTCCAGGGTGGCCATTCTGGGCTGCCCTGAGCAGTTGACTTCTTTGCTGGAAAACACATCAGATTGTCTTCAGTATGGTAACAAGACACAACGGACTACATGTACATTCATTGTAGAAAGGTAATTGAGGCCACTTAAAACACAGCTTTTCGTGACAGCCAACAGCAGGAACGCAGTGAAAAGAGAATTCCTAACATCCAGTTGTCATCAAATTTTCTGCCAACAACTCTTCGGCTGACAAGTCATCGGCCGACAGCTTACGTGGGAGTCCCTGACAGCTTAAAAGTGCGTAAAAAGAGAAATCAAAATCAGGGGACGGGTTACTATGCAAATTTCTGTATTTTGCCAAGAAGATTTGCCATATTTGTTGTTTGGCACTGTAAATATTAATTTACGCCAAAAAACAGTTACTCAAGCAACTGGATATGATATTGAATCATACTGGATATGATTTTTTTTGTTGAATCATACTGGATATGATTTTTTCATAAATATTAATTTAGTTTGGGCTACCGGTATACAATGTAACTTAACGGTACAAACTGCTTTGTCTGTCTCCAAGGGATACAGCAATGGTAGTGATGATAAGTTACATCAGTGTATGTAGTGTGACAGGGCTTGAAATACTTTTTTTTTTGTACAATGTAAGTGCAAAATTGCATGTTGGCAAAAATTTTAGATGCAATTTAAACAATTTACATAAAGAAGAAACGTATTGTTAACTTTTGATTCATTGCCAGCAACGTGAATGCTCTGTCCTCCCTCTACGGGCCGCTCTGGCGGCGTAGTGCAAGTATTTTCTAGGTGCAAAATTGCACATTCAAAATATCTTTACGAGCAAATCTTGAAAATTATGTGCATTTTTGCACATTGCACGTGGGTATTTCAAGCCCTGACAAGTTTTCCAGCTCAAATTTTTAACATGCACATAAACCCTATTCCCATACCTGTTCGGACGTGTGAATAAAAAAAGCCATCACATGATCACCAGTGCCCAAGGTGTGGAGTGACAACTTGGGGCCAGAAATTTGGTTGCAACCAGGAGCAACTACAGAACAATAAGGTACAGAACTTGAGACATTAGCAATTCCCTATTAATGCCCCACATTGTCAACAAATCTTTTTAACAATGTCACAACTTAAATAATATGTGATTGCTTCATACAGAAGGATTATTTACATGCAAATATATTCCATTCTATTACAATACAATATTGTAATTCAGTCCAGAACTGTACTGTACTGTAGAGTAAAAAATTTGATGCAGTAACTTTGACTTTTGTCTCGAAGCAAAGTTTTAAAGCTCACAACTGTAATATAAAGGAATGGGTTTTCTGCCAACACAGGCAACAAAACGTGTGAGCAATTCATTCCTTACCGAAAGTCCTTAGAATATGTCAGAAAATATTGCAGTACAAAATTCTTAGGCAGAAACCTGAAATTTTTATTTGAAAAACTCCGGATGTTTAGGTTTCTTGGGAATAGGCTAATTTCATAGTATATTTAAGATAAAATATTAATAAAACTGCACACTGGATAACTTTGACCCTAGTGTCCTGTGGGTCTGGCACCCAGGCTACGCGCAAGACGCTAAAGTTAATCATGATTAACTGTTAACTTGAAATGGCGACTTGAAATCAAACGGATCTGAGAACTAACGTAACGTTATATGCGACGTGGACTACTCACCACTTCCCAGTGGAAGCTACACATGGGGAAAGCTACACAGGAAGTCGTCCTTGCGAAGGCATTTTCTCCGGACTAAAGTACCTGATAGAATCCTGTAATATTCTCTCCTAGTTGTACAAAACGGGGCAAGTATCTTACCCCTTTTAAGACCTTGGACACGGGCGATCCGACAAGGTCCGACACGGGCCCCCCACTTTTTACAGGTAACGGCTATCAGTAAACAAGACCATACCAAATCTATTGGAGAGGTGACGTGTAGAGAAACACTGAACATCCAGGTTTCTGCTTATAAGAACAGCTTCAACTATGAGTATGAATAAGTAAAAATTATCGTAGGTATTTCATAAAAACATTTATTTTTACATACGTTTAGCCAAACGTCATTAACATTTAGTTAAATAAGTAGTTATGGAGAAAAGTTCCCTATCTATGTAATGGAGTCTTCCGTCGATATTCATCCGCAGAAAAATAGTGCAGGAAAAAAAACAACACAACTGTGATAGTTTATGAAGTAATAATGACAGAGTAACGTTAAGTTCGAGAGGGCACACGGCACGCTACTGCGTCTGCTATTGAATTATGCCGTCCTAAGTAAAGCAGGGTGTGCGTAAAGCAGGGTGTGCGTTTGTGTTTATATAGGGGCGGTTAGATGCGGGATAAATACCTGTAACCTCTGACCGCGTAACGGTGACGTGTAGACTGCTCTGGTGCCAGGTGTGCGATTGGGTGAAGTAACTCGCATTCTGCGATCACGACTCCCTACGACGACGAAACTCGCTGTGCGATTCTCTGCAAATCGCATACAATTACATAGCTCCACCGCAGACTCTTGAACTTGTAACTTAATTATGATATACATGCTGTATTATATACTTTAGTAAAGACAGGTGTTTCGTAAGTACTAAATTGTTAGATGTTGTATGCACTGTTGACGGAAGCATGACGTCGACATCTTAGACTTCTAGTTTCATAAATTTCCGTCATAAAACCTCTGTAACAACGTTTACTACCTCCATGATCTGTTTGTGATCATCTACAGGTATTCTTCGGCTAGTTTATTGTGGAGTCTTCGACCCATTTCCTTGTAGTTCTGATTTGACGTTTGTGGATATGATGAAGATATCTGTCAGTTTTGGAGGGTTAAAATTCATGAAAATGGCTAAATTCATATTTGTCAGCTGGCCCCTCCGGGTAGAGACTTCGATCTGGTAACTCCGTGATTCTACCGAGCTCCCCTGGGTGCCCAAAGTTATCCAGTTAGCCTCCTGTGCAGGCCCCGTGGAAAGCAAACTTCTCTCGTCGGCTATGTAGGATGGCCGGCTATATTAAAATAACGCGTTAAAAACTCTTCCCCACCGCCGCTGGTCCTGCACAGGAGGCTAAGAATTGGTTGGGTTTTGCGTAGTTTTGGTATTATTTTTGGCGTGCTTTTAGGCTTTTTATGGGACTTTCTTTTGGGGGGCTTTTTTTCTTCTTTTTTTACGCCGTTGTGTTGTCGCTAAAAACAAAAACAGTGCAAAAAAGAACTTGAGCCCGATAAAAAGCCTAATAACACGCTAAAATTAAAATGAGCCAAAGCCCAACCCTCTGTTTGGAAAGTAACACTATAACTGTTAGATATAACTTTGGGCTTAATAAGTGTGCTTGTTAGATCCCCGCGGGGTTTCTGTTGACAAAGGCGCCGACTCGCGGGATCTCTAGACTCTACAGCAAGAATCGGTTCTTTATTTGCTACCAAGGTTAAAAATACCTTGATCCACAGGGTAAAGCGGCCAAGTTCAGCTCTGCTTGCCCTTTGTCAAGTATGCCTGGGTGTTTCCTTACACGCACAGCAGGTGTTGGAACGTACTTTTTATTTTCACTTTTGACATTATCTACCGAGGCCTGTGCCAAGTGGTGTATGACCACCACCACATGCTGTAACCTTTGCTGACTTTCGGATAATAAAACTACGTCACAAGCATAGAACAGGCTTATTAATATAGACTTATTACTTTTGAGCGGTGTAACCGTCGAGCGTTTTATGACCCTTAACATACATGTGTATATGTTATGTTTAGAGCTTTAGACTGGTTTATGCACTTATTATCAAGACCGCATCGGGGCGCTACAGTACAGTACAGACCGGTTCTCGACAGATTTCAACCATGGTGTAAATCGTACAAAACAGTTGCAAAATGGGCAAATATATACCGCAAGTTGAAAAAAAAACCATTGGAAAACGATACCAATGTCGTAGAATGCCAAAATTAAACTAAAAAGACGAAAATTATGTAAAGAAATGAATTTGAAAAGTAGAAAAGCTTCAAAACCACGTAGATTCCATAATGAAAACAACTTTTTGGCTAAACTTTTTTATTCGCACGCTCGCATCAGTTTTGAGGTTCCCAGAGCATGTCATTCATATACTAGTAATCAAATCAACATGGCCTTACTGAGTTTACAACAACAACAGCAACAAACTACTTTTACTGGATATTTCGTGAACATCAAGGGCACCTATCCAAAATGGACAATAGTCTGTAAAAACGGCAAAATTTTTCTATAACTAATCACTTACTCATTCACACCATGTTCACAGGTGGCTTCTGATAAAAGCATTGGACTGTCCAAAAGGACTCTCGCCTGCCTACATTTATCCATCGAAATGGAGAACACTGTTGCATACACGACTTCTGATACCAACCGCACACAGAATTTATCTGTGTCTCTTCATGTGACTATCATACCATGCGAACGTGATTTTGATACAGTCATGTTGGCTCCTCACCGACTAACCTGTACCTAGTAGTAACGTTACAAGTATTATAAATAGAAGCCATAGAACGGTGAAATCCAAACGAGCAATCCAACACTGGAAACTGTAGCCATGTGACGTCAGGGGGTATTTTGGCGCGGAGTGGTACACCTGAACATTTGGAGGGGTGGTTAGGGTACAGGGGGTACCTAATCTCCAAGCAGATGCTGGTAGGAAATATCGTTAAGTTACATAATGTTGACCGACTTTCCGTTTATGTTACATACATGTAGATTGTAGCGCTCTGTTATAATATTATATGGTTTCTTCGAGAGTAGCCCAAGCCAGACACTTAAAGTTTAAAGGTATCCAGTGCAGTTTTTAGGGCTTGGATTTTTCAAAGTCAATATTCAATAAGTTGAAACGACACTGTCCAATGTATATCGACATTCGTGGACCAAAAATGCAAAAAATTCTTACGAAAAACGGTTATTGGAAGGACCTTGTTTGAATTTTAGGGTACCACCCAGAAAATATAGGACTTATCTTGGGGCTTGTTTCTGCACTTTTAAATGCCTAAAGTACTAGTATCAGATACTGATTGAAAGGTGCTAAGGCGGGAAAGTATGTGTCAATGTCATAAAAATTACCTAAGAGTATTTCCAGTTTTGCCGCCCTGAAATTGCATTGGATGTTTTTAAATCATGACCATAGTTTGTACGCGTCAGCAAGAAAAAAAAAACCAAAAAAAAAACAAAAAACGGGACAGTTGGAAAACGTTTCGATTTGCCTCCCAACATCTGCTTGGAGACAGAATTGTACACGTGTACTGCTTGCGTACAGCGAATCCCAAGTTGATAACGATTTGAAATTTGTAACAATTTATGCCGTTTTACAGACATCAACCTTCATGAATTGTGCATGTTAATGAAACTAAAGCCAATGCAGAAGCTTTTATGGATGTTTGTGAACACGTGGGTTTTGCGGACGCTAAAACGAACGCACACTTTAACATATTTTTCTACCCAGGCAACATCCGTCCAACTGTGGAATTTAGGGTCTGCATGCCTTTTTCCGTGAGGCGTAACAAGCCTGTATGGCCTGGTTTCTATCCGACCCTCACTGTCCATCATAATTAGCGGTTCAACCAATGAGAGCATGGCAATTAGTGATTAGACCAATGAGAAAGTGTGTGGCTGAATGCCCTTAAATATTTGCAATTTATTTCATTACATTTCTACGTTTTGACGGAGGGGGCTGAGGCTGTGGTATCGGCTTACCAGACAGAAAAGTTTAATTTTACACTTTCAAAGAACAACACCGACTATTGGTCTGAAGATAATGCAATCATGTAGAAGACCAATCGGGTTGGTTGGAACGTCGCTGAGGCTACAGCTAAGTGGCCAATCCGAGCAAGCGTTGCATATCTTTACCGATACCAACACAGACATTTTGGAGTATACAGGGTTTTAAAAAGTTATCCCAGTCGAATATAGGTGGCTTATCACAGACAAAACGGTTTTCTAGTGTTGTTTCTTGCTTCTATGGTAATCTATTGTGAAATCTACGGTGTATTTCTCGAGTTTATTAGATAGTTTTGAGACCATAAGGATTTAATAGCGAACTCCGGCCCATTCAGAACACTTGCAATTGAATTTTAGTTGACGTTAAAAAGTCACGGAGCCAGACGTTTTATTACAAATCTCTTGCACAGTGAAGTTCTGAACTTCATCAACGTGTATCTAAACATATTTTTTTCATTATTGCTAGATTCAAAACACATATTTTATATCGCATGCCTGACGTAATTACGTACTATAAAACTTCAAACTAAAAGTGATCATATATCTTGCTGTTTTGGCCAGACATAGCAAATACACATTGACTTGAAGAATCAAAGAATGTTTCTACATACAAGAATTTAGTTTTGTTGGCAGACATATTCTTTTTGCCGATACAAAGCATTCTTGTTAACCAGAGCAATAAAATCTAAAAGCATTTACAGTATTTGACATTTGGGTAAAAACACCCCTATAGTGAAAAGTGGGCTGTTCCGTAAACTCTCCGCCAATCAGCGAGCTGGATGGCACAAAAGGAGCCAGGTGCGCAGAAGACCTGCGCAAACGCGGTTTCCCGATGGCGACCCCTAACCGGAGAAGTTTTCCCACCACCACAACTTTGAGCAGCTCTCCTTCAAGAAACATGCCAAGAAACGACGACCTAACACCCCTGGGCGAGTTATGAGTCTTCTAGGAGACGTGAGACGGACGCTGGTAGCCGGAATCCGACTGTAACACGACTTACAAGGTGAGTGACGCCAACCGGTTGCTCCTAGAAACGTGCAGATCGTCTTGCACTGATCCAGGTTGACAGTCTTGGCAAAACTCCTTTCTTCTTACCCTCGCGATCTTAAGAAATACCAGCGCTTTATGAGTTCCTGCTCTGGTCCCACGCTTTGAGAACCCTCCCCACACGTGTTGGGGTTGTTTTGGAATCGTATGGCTTCCCCGAACGCTTGGCAGTTGCTATGGCGACCGATTGTAGGTGAAATTTACATGATTATTGCTACAGGTGGGCCGGTAAGGTTTCAGCTGTCAATCTTTCAGCAGGTGTTCCAGATGCACCATAAAGCACATGTTCACCGTTTCTGATATATTTATCCCTCCAAAAGAGATATTTAAGCATTAGGGAAGTGTTTTGGTTCAAATTTGTGGTTCTAGAACGGGGTTAACCGGTTGACACATTGTTGCAAATGTAGCAATTCAGAAGAATCAGACTGTGAACATTATAAAAACATTGTAGCGTCCCGATGTAGCTTAGCCTACGGTAGGTCCAACATGGGAGATTTTATCTAGATAATAAGCAGGTTTGGTCATTTAAGATGAAGTGGGATACCTTTCTAGTAGTATTACACAAAAATGTGGTCTTACAACTGGATAGAAAAATACAGATCATATCTTTATATCAAGTGTTGATTGTCACATGTAATAAACTTATATTATAGTATAGTAAAACATCAAACTTCAAGTATATTGCAGTTATACATGTAGTATATTTACAAGGTTTTTGAAACCTTATGATAAAATGTCACTTCAGTTCAATATTGTATGATGATGATAAAAAATATGTGATAGGCAAGAGAGAAACTCATTACTGTACTGTAAGTGTGTGTGTGCACGGGTGTGTATGTATGTGTGTGTGTGTGTGTGTGTGTGTGTGTGTGTGTGTGTGTGTGTGTGTGTGTGTATGTGTGTGTGTGTGTGTGTGTGTACATGTATGTGTGTGTGTGCGTGTGTGTGTATATGTAAGAGAGAGAGAAAGTGTGTATGTGTGTGTGTTGTGTGTGTATGCGATGTGTGTATTGTATTATCCTTATAAAATGTATAGATATTTCCTGAAGTATCCCATTAGTTCATAAAGTATGTTAACTAAAGGTATACATTCTTGTAGCTAAAATAGACTGCTAGTAGCATTATTCTACTTGAAAGAATGGCCATTTTTAAATTGCATCGTTTTTTCCCTCATAATATATAGACTGGTAAGACGCCAACATTGCCCAGTAGCTGCGTTTATTTTATAACAGCTGCATTTGAATTTGAGGGGAGGGGGGCAACTGTGTCTAAACCATGCATTTTCATTTCAAAAGTACAATGTATTATTAATTGTATCCTTTGTTTCTACTCAGACTACCACTCCAAAGCAACCTTTTCTCTCTAAGCACAAAGCAATTCACATTATATCGCGACAAACGTGCAAAGACACCTGTTCAAACTGTATTTGACCAATGGTATAATGACGTTATGTGATACAGTAACTGCTCTGTCTTCAACAACTAGCTTGAGTAGAATTTGTTGTTGAGAAATTGGTAGCGGTACTTTTGCAGTTTTTTTTATTGTATGGTACGCGTGATTACGAAGGTTTTTGCAGCACTTTACAGTAAATGCAAGTTGAAACAATTCTGTAGTACAGTTAAGTATTACATAACAGTTTATTAACACATGTTTGCAGTGTTATGATTTTGTGCTATTAGGTTGCGAAACTTAAAAGTACTGCAAATATTTCAGGATTTACAGTAAGTGATGTTGGAAAGGTTAACCTTTAGCATGTTGAAGTAGCCATTTCTCTAACGATTGGTTACTTCAGTGTGGCAGCAGGGTAAGATAAATGGAAAATTGCAGCTGCAGTATTGAAACCATGTATAGTTATTTGCCATACAGGTCAATATATACTGTGAACTACAACATGAGCATGCATATGGGCAATTATAAGTCACAAAAGTGGCAAACCTGTAACTACTTGGATCTAAAAGACTAAAGCCTTGGAAATTATTCTTAGAAACAAACACTCATTTGGTAAAGATAAGATAAATATATATTATGATTAATTGGTATCAGCTTAAGTTGTCATATAATAAAGTATTACATTAACAAGTACCCATCATTTTATTTTTGATGGTATTTTACATGTACTTCCAGTTTATCAGGAAGAACTGTGGTTCAGGAAGAACTTCTACATATGTACATTACTGAACGTTCTAGAATGATATTATTGATCTGTCTCTAGAGAAGGAAAACATTATAGGTCTTCAGTCTGGTATCATTTGGCCTATTGTAATGACTGAACATAATGCATTCTAACACTAACAGTCTGTATCCTGATTAAATTTTTATTGCATTCATGGAATGATTGAATGGATTTTAGTGCCGTGGTAAGATTTTCCTACCCACCTGCGATTTGGAAAACAAAAGAAGAAATCAGAGATTGCAGAATTCTAGGGAGTGTTTTTTTCAGTTTCTGTGAATTTATGATATACTGTAATTGGAACTAGGACAGAAACTTAACAGGGTTGGTAGGTTACATTCATATAATCCTTGGCTTCCTGAATTCCTCCCATGTCCACCCCTAATTCCTGCTGACTCTTGGACAAATTATAATGATTATTGGACCTTCAATTTCACCCCCATTTCCTGTGTCTGACCTTATGACAGCCTGTCAATCTTTCCCCAACCCATGTGCTGTCAACCTACTCAGTCTGGACAAGCATACACACTAACTCGCCCAAAACTGTGGCCACCCATGTGATGACAGCTCATTTCAAAGTGATTTTTTTCATTACTACGACTCCCATGGGAGTAATTCCTATTAAGTCGTGTGGAAAACTCAATCATTGGTCGGTTGTCCACCAGTCTCACGTAACCTCCGTGCTCCACCCAACCCTTTGTGTGGGAAAATTACGTTGTTCACACGAAATATGGGAAGGTGATTTTGGAATGATTACATTTTTGTTTAAGGTCACTCCAGATTGCATATTACATGTACAGACAATTCATAAGGTGATTCCATTCACAATTTTCAAAAAAGGGGTGGTCAGGACTATTTTTAATTTGATGCCCATCCACTCATTTATACAAAATCAATTTTTTACACCTTATATATTTGCTTTAATAAAAAAAAAATGATGGTTTCATTCTGTGAAGTTTTTGGGGTCAACCCCTACCTAACTGTCTGAATGATATAAGATATTTTGCTCATTGTTATAATTGAATTGTAAACCACTTGAACAGTAATCCAAAATTAGACCCCCAACTGTGTTCTATAACTGGGACATAGGGTCAAGTTACTGTCAAATTTTACAGTAGTGTGTTTCAATTACCAGGAGTCATATTGAAAAGGTAAAAATTATTGTTATAATAATAGACAATTCACGGGTTGTTCCAAAGAAATGAATGTATCTATTTATTTCTAAACCTCTATTACTAATAATGTTTATGTTATCTGTAATTTCATAAATGTAACATTTTGGATTCAACTTCTCAACTTTTCTTCTGAAAATAATCACCTAAAACATGCTTTCAAACCTAAGTGTTAAGCTTGTTTTTCTGAAAATGTAAAGTCTATTTAGAGAATGTTGGTCATGTTCCATTGATGTTTATGAAACAGAATTCTTTACAGGTTGCATAAACACCTCAGTCACCTTGTTCTCATAACACTGTTGACAAATCTCCCATAATCCTCTCTGCTGTCAACATAGCCACGACCTTGACAATAAACAATTTCAAATTCTTAACAGTTTCTTGACTAAAGGTCAATATAACTCTAGTATTGCTAGCTGGTATTCTATGGATTCTCGGCTAGATGATACTATAAAAAGAATTACAACTTTGACACAAACAAAAAGTTATTTCAAGAAAATAAAATTATGAACAGTGAAGCCATACCTTGTTCTAGAACATATAAAAATGGATTCTGTAGTGAATTGTGGTAACTATTTGTTGCATAACTTTACAGGTAAATTTTTCTGTTGATGTATTCGTTACTAGAAACTAAAAAATTCTGTTGAACTGACTCAAAGCTCCTGGCTTTCATTTGCAAACAGACAAGGTAAAATTTTAATATCGTCTTAAGAAATTAATTATATTAGAATAGATATCTATTGCCTGTGTCATTCATATTCTGCTTAGTTCTTTTTTGTGATCTTAATGATTTTAAGAGGTAAAAATCAAACAAGTTCAAAATTCAAGCAGTTTTTTTTAGTTCTTCTAAATGAACTTTGTTGTAACAAGTATGGATTTGCGTAGATAATAAAATCAATCAACTGTCCAACCTTAAGCCATTTACATAAACCCGTTGTACCAACACACGTTAATCCATTGTCGCTAAGAGAAAAACTTTCCTACTGTATTTTTCTTGACATATTCCTTCACAAAAACAGGCCTTCTACTATTACAGACATTCCATAAACAAATTTGGTTGGACGGATTATGATATGGAATTTGACCGGTTGGGAGTCGGCATTTATTTAACCAAGGTTTATGGTTTGAGGTTTATGAATAAGTGGACGCAGACTTGGTTTCCAGAACTGAAAAGAAAGGCTGGACTCAGTCAATTGAATTCTATACTAAGGTTACGGGATCGGATGTCGGAGGGTTTACATATGTGACGTACGTACGCGTTTTAGGCGTTATCAGTGTGTTGGCGAAAGCAGTGTTTGCGCACATTTTAGATAACCGGGCTCGGGGTAGGTGTTTTTAGCGCTGTTTGAAGTTTTGACAGGGCGGAAAATTGGTGGGCATTACCCACGCTTGGTAAAGACGCAGCCGTGAGGCGGTGAATGCGCTGCGTGTACCTTTGGCACGGGAATAGAGCTCGGTAAACGATCCTGTATACGCTTTGTTTAACGGAAACATGGATACGCTGGTATCTGCCCCCCTCAAGCGGCGGTCGATCACACCGACACCCATTGTTCGCTCGCTGGTTGGAAAGAGCTTTTCTGTCAATTTCTGCCCGCGCTCGGGCGATCTTTGCTC